TCTTTCAGATTCTCTTTTAATAAAGCTGAAGTGTGTCTTCCAACTTGTGGTGTATATATCTCCTGCTAAAATTTATGAAAGAGGCTCTAGTTAAAAGTGCTCTAGTTAAAAGTGCTCTATATTTGATGTATATTCAGAATTCTTTTTTGTTCAAATCTATTTTATCTTTTTCCAGTTAATTATTTCTGTTTACTTCTGAACTTTGGAAAGAAATGTCTTTTTACCAAGTCCCACAGGGTTTTGTTAGATCTTTTCTCCAAGGTAATGGCTGCCTGCTAGCCTGACAATTACATAATGAAGTTGTCCACTGAAGGGAGTATTCCCATGGCAAAGATCTGATTCTTTACCTAGTTAGCTTTCTTTACATAGGTTGTAAAGCACTTGATAGCTTTTAAAAAAATTGAAGAATAATATGCATGCCATAAAACTCATTACTAATATACAATTCTGTTAATATATTTATGGAGTTATACAAACATTACCACAATTCAGTTTTACAATATTTCCATGACACCAAAAAATTTTTATAGCCATAATCAGTCAATCTCCTCTTTAACCTCAACTAAGATAAACACTGGTCTCTAGATTTCCTTTCCTGAAAATTTTATATAAATGGAATTATATAATCTGTGTTATATCGTTTCTGAGTTCTTTCACTGGGAATAATACTTTTCAGGTCCATTCATGTTGTAGAACACCTCCATCATTAATTCTTTTTCTATTGCTTGATTATATTATTTTACGTTAATATAACACCTTTATTTAACCTTTCTGCAACTGTGCAGCTGATGAAAATGAGAGCTGTGTCCAGTTTTTGAATATTTTGATAATGTTACTATAATTACCTGAAAGTGAATCTGTGCATACATGTATTTTCATTCCCTTTGGCTAGCAATAGAATTGTTAGATTGTATGGTAGTTTCATGTTTGCCTTTTTAAGAAATTGCTAAATTGTTCTCTAAAATGACTGCACCATTTGCATTGTCACCATTGATATTTAAGTGATTTCCAGTTCCTCCATGCTGGTTTTGATGGTAGCCATTCTGTAGGTGTGAATTGCTCTTTTGCAATTGCATTTTCAGTCTGTTTTTTCTTATCAGCTGATGATACTGCAATGACTATTTACATCTGGTTTGAAGAAGTATCTATCTTCAAATAAATTCCCTACTTTCCAGTTGAAGTGTTTGTTGAGACCATCAGTGCTGCATGGCAGGTAAAGCCACTGCCTATGGAGCCAGCGTCACAATGGGCACTGGTTTGAGCCCTGCTAATGTTCCTGGGAAAACTGTGGGGATTGCTCCAGTACTTCGGTCCATGCCTTCATGCTGGAGACCCAGATTTAACTCCTGGCCACTGGATTTGAATCCATCCAGAGCCAGCCATTGTGACCATTTGGAGAGTAAGCCCTCAGCTGGAAGATCTCTCCTTTCTCTGTAATTCTGCCTTTCAAATTCATAGGTAAATCTTTTTAAAAAGAAGAAATGTTTGTCTTTTTTATCAACCCTCAAGAATTCTTTATATATTCTGAACCCAAGTTCATTCCCAGACATGAAATTTTATATTACCTCTTACTGCAGTTTGTCTTGTCATTTTTAAGGTTGTCTTTGAAGTACAAAACTTTGTAATTTTAGTGTAGACTAAAATGTCTTTTTTTTTTCCTTTATGTATTTCATGTTTGGTGCCAGATTTGTAGCAATATTTTGCTAGCCCAAAGTAATGTAAAATTATAATTTGTACCTTTTCTGTAAAACCATTTTTAAAAGATTTACTTATTTGAAAGGCAGAGTTTAGGCAGAAGCAAATATCTTCCACATACTGGTTCACTCCTCAAGTGGAAACAAAGGCCAAGGCTGGGCCCGGCTGAAGCCAAGAGCTAGCTGCATCCATGTCTTGTGTGTGGCTGGCAGGGGCCTGTACTTAGGCAATCTTGTCCTGTTTTCCCAGGAGCATGAGCATGGAGCTAGACTGAGAATGGAATAGCCAGGACTGGAACAGGTATCCATTTGGGATGCCAGCATCAATGGCAGTAGCTTAACGTGCTAAGTCACAATGTCAGCCTCATAGAAATCCATCATTGCATTAAGTTTTGTATATGGCATAACATAATGAATCAAACTTTTGTTTTTAGGTATGGATATCCAATTTTTTCTGCTTCAGTTATTGGAAATATTTTTTTCTCTATTTAGTATGTTAGTCCAAAATCAGTTGGCCACAAATGTATGGGTTTGTTTCTGAGTTTTTCAATTTTTTTCTTCAGTCTATATGTCAGTGATACATTGTCTTGATTATTTTAGCCTAAAATTAAAGTTTAAAATCAGTAGTATCAACATTGTTTAGGCGAATCTGTGTCCTTTTAATTTGTATTTCATCTCTCAGTCATTATGTATAATTTGCATAAAGTTGTCCCAAGTAATCCCTTGTAAATCTTTTAACTTTATTACCATTAATAATGTTGTCTTCTCATTCCTGATTTTGGTGATTATTGTATTCCTTGTTACTGTTTTGTTCTAATACTGCTCAGTCTATCTCAAGTTTTACCAATAAGACTTTTGGTTATATTAACTTTTTATTCTGTTCTCTGTTTTCTATTCATTGAATCATTCTCTGATCTTTCCTTTTTGTTTGGGGTTTTTTAGTTCTTTTTTGATAATTATATTTATTTGAATGAATTGCAGAGAAAGAAGGAGACAGAGAGATGGATCTTCCATCTGCTGGATTACTGTCCCAAGGGTCAGGGGATAGGCCAGGCTGTTGGTGGGAGTAGCAATTCCATCTGAGTTTCCTACACATGTGGCAGGGGTCCACCTTGCAGTGCTCTCTCTCTCTCTCATACATTAGGAGGGAGCTTGCCTGGAAGCGAACATGTGGTACTTGAACTGATACTCAGATATACTATGCCAGCATTGTAGTTGACAACCTAATCCATTGTGCCACACACCAGCCCCAACTTGGGGAGTTTTCTTTTGTTGCTTTTGCTTTTACAGTTTCTTAAAGTGAAAGCTTAAATTATTGGTTTGTGTCTTTTCTTTTAAATATAGTGAGTGAAGCCTTGATTTCCCTTATGGTCTGTTTTGTCTATATCCTGTAAATGTTGATAGCTTGTGGGCTTTTCTCTATTCAGTTTCAAATATTTTCTAGTTACTCTCAGAATCTGTGTGATTTACTATCCAAATATTTTCCACAGTTTATTTCTGCTGTTGATTCCTAATTTAATTCTCATTGATGAAATAACATATCTTGAAAGATTTAATAATCCTCTAAAATTATTGAGAAGTGTTATGTCGCTTGGCATATATTTGAAGAGTCTGCACATATTTGAAGAGAATATGTATTATGCTGATGTTAGATGCTATATTTTGCACATGTCATTTTTGGTTTTTTTACTCAATTTTTGTATACCTTTACTGATTTCCTGTGTAATTTTTCTGTGAGTTATTGAGAGAAGATGTTGAAATCTCTTACACAATCAAGCTGTACATAATGATGTTTTAATCGATGATGAACCACATATATAATGGTGAGCCGATAAAATAATGAAACAAAAATTCATTTAGTCTAATCATCATAACACTACAGTACAATTATTCATATGTTTGTGGTGATGCTACTATGAAAAACAAAAGCCTACCATACTGCTAGTTGTATAAAGAAATAGCACAAGTATGTCACATTACTGGGTTAAATATTGACTATACTGTATTTTTATCTTTTGTGCTGTCATCCTCCTATTTCTTAAAAAAAAGTTTACTATAAGATAGTATTCCATGTTACACTGACAACAACCTCATGCAACCCATATTTATCTCATGTCTCTTGACTGTATTGTTTTCTCTTGCTCTTGATTTATATTTGGTTCATTATAGATCTTATGTTCACTATTTGATTTTTTGCCTTCTCAAATCTGCTCTCAGGACTCTAATGTGCTTTTAAATTTTGGTTATTGACATTTAAAGTGTCTGGTTTTCATTTCTAAAGTAATATCTCTTTCCTCTGAAATTCCAAATCTGCTGAATCATTGCCATCATATTTTTCTTTAATTCTTTAAAGATAGTTTAGTCTTCATTCTTTTAACATATGTAACTAAGCTGCTTTGAAGTCTGCATCTGCTAGTTCCTGCATCTAGTCCTTTAAAGCAATACTGCTTTCTTCCCTCATTATGGACCTCATAAGCTTTTGTCTAAAATCAGCTTTTAAAAATAATGTTTGTAGTGGCTCTGGATTCTGGTTATGTTTTTGTTTTTTTTTTCCCTGAGGCTCATCTTACTAGCTTTTAATTATCTTCTTAATCTGAATCTGTGGAATCCATGTCCACATGATATGTGTTTGATTCTCTGTTCATGTTTTGTCATTCTTTATTTTGCTTTTTACTTTTTAGCATAACACCCCCAGAAATTATTCTATTTTCCCCTAGCTTAGGTGTTACTCAATTTTTGATCAGAGGTTGTGTTTGAACACTTGGAGCTAGTGTGTGTTTGCAGGACTATGTGTGGATTCAGGTGGAGTAAGTGGTGGGAGAGACACATTACAGTCTGTACAAGTTTTAACATTCCGCAAAACCTTGTTGGGTCTCCCCTTGTCAATCAGGTATTGGAAACTATCTAGCCCTTCTCTACTTCTCTCATTTGTATTTTCCTTGTTAGATGTATTACCTGGATCACCCATAAGGAACTGCAGATTTAACTGTAAGGTGAGAATGTTCCCTGTTAAGTTCTCTTCTTTCTTTTTTTTTTTTGCTTTTAAAAGATATATTTATGTATGTGACAAAGTTACAGAGAGGGAGAGAGACAGTGATATCTCCACTGATCCACTTCCCAAAAGGAAGCAACACTTGATACTGGCACAGTCCAAAGCCAGGAGCCAGGAGCTTTTTTTGATCTCCAGTGTGGTTGCAGGGGCCCAAGTAATTTAGCCATCCTCCACTGCTTCCCCAAACACCTTTGGAAGAAGCTGGATCAGAAGTGGAGCAGCCAGTACTCCAACCAACACCTTTATGTGATATGAGGGTGCTGGCCCCTCCTTACTAATTTTATACAGGTTTTTTTAAACAGTATAATTAATATGAAGTCTTCTCTTCCATTCCAAATCAAGTCGCCACATCCTCATCAGTGAAGAAGCTAAGTATCATGACCAGTCATTCCTTAGAAGTGTTATCCTAATTGATAGGGAAAGAAGAGGAGCAGCTGCAGACAAGAACATCACAGACTAAGACTCCCACTGTTCTGCAAAGCTCATCAGTTTTTCATGTGCGAAAGCTTCACAATTTGTTGTTTGTTACTGCTTGATTATCAAAGCAGTGATAATAATTTTTCTCACAATTTTGTCCAGCTCTCTAGTTGTTTGCTGGGAGATTTCCTGACCTACTCACACCCCTGCCACCAGAAGTCCTGCCTCACCTGGCAGCTTTTAAAATGGCAAATTAACTTGAAATTCTACCTGCAAGGCACCGTTCTGTAGCTCCCTACCATGTTGGCACAAATTTGTGCCTTTGGGGATTAGAACAGTCTTTTTACCATGCTATTTGGTTTGTCCACCTTGCTGCACAATAGATCATCTAAATCCAGTTTGATACAGGGAATTTCACATTTCTAATTGCCAGGATTTTTGTGTGTATTGCTTCCTTTGGAATACCACATGGATGGCATCTGATACTGTTTGTAATGCTGAATTTAAAGACAGTTTATAAATAATTTATTTCATAATTCTCCTTTTTAAATTCATATACATATAATTTTACTTTGTCTCTTTCATAATATAGAATGTTTAAATGGTTAACATTTGTGCTGCAGTATAGCTTTCTGGCTCATGAAAAATGAAAGCTATCAGCGATCTGGGCAATAAGATTCATCGCCAATAGTCAGTAGCAACAGCACAGAGCATTTTAATATCAGTGAGGTCCACAGCTAGCTGTAAGAGCTGGTGTACTTGAAAGACGTTTAGGTGCAATCATTCTGCTGTTTGTTCCTTGCCTGATTCAACATGGGATTGTGTGAGTATTTGAAGAAAACATCTTTTTTTTTATAGCTTTGAAAGATTTAAAAGGATAGATCAATGCTTAAATGTAAGGCACGGGGTAATTGTAAAAATCGTATATCTCTAAAAAGGGAAGATATTTTATTTATCTTGGTTGATTAACGTTTTAGAAAAGCTATTGCTTGGTTACAAGTGAACTGATAATGCTGGTCTAATGTTGCCGTGGTAACAACTCATGCTGATATAATTGAGAACATCTTATACATCCTAGCTTGAACATTTTCTCCCTGCCATTTTGAGTTGTTCTGGTGGTATATGAAGGAAGCTAAGACAGCTGGCTTGAAAGAAATTAAATCTGGTTGTATGCATCTTTGGCGTTAATGTGGCGTTTAGTAGTGATATCACATGCTGGGCAGTTATGCTTTGCTTCTAGAGGCTTTTCTTTGTAAAACAAAAGAAAGCTTTCTTCATTTTCTGTGTGCTGCATGTTCCAGTGTATGTGTTTACACCATCGGTTCCTCTACCTCTAGAGATTAGCATAACTCCCTTTGCTATTGGATTGTTGTTTTGAGCAATATGTTTTGGAAAGGTTGCTTTTCATCATGAGTGGTAAGTAAGCTCTTTGAGATTCTTCAGCTATATATTTTTAAAAACATATTTAGCTAAAAGAGAAAAATGCTTCTGAAAGAGACTGTTATGAAACCAGAGCTACAGTGAGTTATATTTTGTGTTGATGCTTGTGCAGTGAGGTATTATTGTAAATTGCTTTTAAAAAACCAGTAAGAATTGCAACGATGTTAACTGTTAATAGAAAATATCAATAACAAGTTTCTAATTTCATTTATGGTTTGATATATTAAATCCATTTGCATTTTTGTTGTATAAATTAATGAGTGGAATACCCACCCTCAAAAGAGGGATTTATTGATCCTAGAAATAGTTTAACTTCCTTTGATTAGCTTTGAAATACTGACTTTTGCTTACCTTCCTTTTAATTATGTTTTAATTCCTAATTTGAGAAAGGGTTGCTACAAAAATTTGGTGATTTGTTGATTCCTTCCACTAAAATTCATTGAAACATAGGCATTTGGTGATAAAAAAAAAAAAAACAGGCAGTTTTGGATTTGATGGCTTTGTTAAGATTTTAAAAAAAAACAGCTTTTGGGCAATAATTTATTGGAATTAGTTCATTGGTGATAGCTTCTTTTTGTTATTGCAATATGATACATTTTCCCAAAACATTTAACAAAGTGTTGTTTGAGAATATACTACAGCATTTACTGCAGCTTGTCATAGAAAAAAGCTGTTCACTTCAAGCCAATTCTGCAGCTAAAAATAGATATCCTGTTGTCAGAGTAAGAAATATTTGGTTAGAGCTCAGTTCATTTACATCTTTTTTGCTTAACAAAAAGGATTCTGTTTAGAAGTTAACCTTTTATTCAGATACCTTTGTTAGGAGAAGTATTATGTGATTTCTCTGAAAATATAGCAATCTTATAATTTATGCTTAAAATATTTGTTTTGAAATTCAGAACCTAGTGAGCTGGATTTTTGCTGTATAGTGACAAAACATCAGATCAGTTCATCTTTACTTGCATAACTGGAGATTGCCTCATTATCACTGATATATACATAAATAAATCTTGCTGCAGTACAACAAAAACCTCCTTAGCATTATTAGGTATTTGTTTATAGAGTGATCTTGCGCAGTACAGGATTTTTATATGGAAAATGTTATGAATTTTCTGGATTGTTATTTTCCTGTTGTTGAAGTAGAACTCTCTGGTCTAGGGTTCTAAATCTGGGCTAAAATTACCAAAACAACATGTCAACAATCCTTAGGATTTCTATGGATATGGAAACTGATTCTACCTAGTTATCATATTTGTGTTTCTTTGAATCAGACCAATGTGTGTTTTTCTTTGAAAGTCTGGACCATAAGTTAGAATGCTTGGAAAACCACTGTGATATTCTGGAGCTTTTTTTCAATAGAATATATTGCTTTTAGCTGAATGAAATTGCTTCTGCTTCTCTACTGCTTTAGTTTTTTATTCAGTAAAGCTATAGATTATGGATGGTATATACTTGGTCATATAGGTCGTGCTTTTTTTCTACCGTAAATTATAGTAAAAACAAGTAGAAGTTCTCACCTTTTCAAGAGTAGTCAATTTTAACCAATTTTATTCTTGCTATATTGATTAAATGCTTTGCCATTTCTAAAAGTGGAAAATTATAACTGATATAGGGTTTATCTGTAAAAATACACAAATGGTAGGCTTTTAAATCTAAGTCTATTTAACTATATATGTGGTATCTATCTGTATGTAAATTTTCCCAGCTATAAATCTATTCATCTCCTCTATGACAGTTTAATGTTAGATTTTTTTTTTTCTGGGAATCTAACATTGGTCTTTGCTGTGTTCTCTGAATGATCTCATCTATGCTCATATCTTAAGCCATTGTCTGAAAGTTCAGTTCAAAAGTGAATTTTCTGCTCCCATCCCCAAATCTCTTCTTAATTTCTGTAAAGACTTAAAGACAGAAATCTTGGAGTCATTTCTAACTTATTTTTTATCCTCCAGACATACACTCAGACTGTAAGTTCTGTTGATTCTGTATCAAAAATACCTCAGAAATCATTCAGTTGTTTCCAATCTTACTGACACTAGGATTGCTTTTAGGTCAGAGAGCCTACCTCCTCTCAATCTCCTTACAATAGCTGCTTCATAGTTCTTGCAGTTCATTTTATTTTTTTTCCAGATCATTTCCCACCATGCATCATTAAAATGCAAATGTGCCTGCTTCTTAACCCAATGTGAAGACTTTCTATTACTTCTGAAATACTTTCTGTTATTTCTAAAAGGATGTTAGCCTGCCTTCCTGGTTTCATGCAGTTTTCTTATAAATTTGATATAGCCTTTCTATACCACTTATAATATTTTTGCATATGTATATTCTTTACTTGCAGATATTCTTTATTGTAAATATGCTAAGAACCAACTATGCTTAACAGTGCCTCCATTTTTGACTATAGAATTGATTTATCTGCATTCCCAAATGAACTTATAAACCTAAAAATTATTGTTTTATTTGAAAGGAAATATTTGTATGTTAGGCTTTTATCTAAATTTTGTGCTGTTTATGTCAATCACAATGCTTTTTTAAATCTAGGTATTCCCATCAGTTACCAAATATATCAAGGAAAACACAAATACTGAGGGAGTTGGTTAATTAAATTTTAGTTTTCCATATTAAACCTTTTTTTGTTATTTTACCATTGAAAATTTTGATTGGTTTGAATCAGAAAATATGAGAAGTACTTCAGAATGTTTGTGGACAGTTTAGCAAAAGATTATTTTTGGTGCAAAAAGAATATGAAATCCATGTATGCTTATTTCATAGTATGTTTTTCATATACTTTTCGAAGGAACATGTACATGGATTTCACTACCATAAGTTTATCTTTTAATTCAGTTTTCTCTAAGATTTTGAAGGACTTATCATTGTTTCATCTGTAGTATTAAGTTACATTAAAAGGAATAAGAAAGTCAGTTGTGTGAGTCTGAACTTTCCTGTTTCTATTATTTGAAAATTGTTTGTAAAGGAAAGAAAAGCCCTCATATCCTATTTTTTTTCTTACTTATAGCTCTTTTTGGGGAGAAATATTTTCTTGTTAAGCAAACCAGTCTTCTCAAGAGCTAAGAAAAGTACTTTTTAAAAATCAAATGAACTATCTTAAGATTCTTTTGTTTAGAAGAAATAGCAAACTATTCAAATAGGCTTAAACAGAATAATACAGTACTACCTGGATGGACAGTTTGAGTTAGCTTAGATTAAAAGCAGGATTTGGAAATTGGTTGGGATACTAGCAACACCTTTCTCAACTTTTCTAAGATCATCTGATTACATTTTTCCTTGCACCTGTTACTTTGATTTATATAAACTATATTGTTCTGCTACTTGTACAAAATGGAGCTTATTCATCTGAAAGGTTCATACTTTATATAATATTCTTTTAGCTCATCTACTTTCTGGTATGTCCAGAATCACTGTGTCACAATCTTTGGTGAGAACTGTGGCCTACAGTAGTTGAGGTCTAAGATCAGTAGAAGAAGATGTTAACCTGCTATGGATTATAGGAAATTTTCAGACTTGAGCACATTCACTTAAGTAACTCCCCTTTCTATATCTTGACTGAAAATATAAGAATAGGAAACTGGAAATTTTTTGCATCAACACTAGAATAAAGCAGGCTGTTTGCCCAGAAATACACTGTATCTGATTGATGATCAGACTGCAAAGTTCAACCAATGATTTTACTTTGAGTTGTTTGCCTAACATTGTGGGGGAAAAGAATGCAAGACTCAAAATAACTCATTTCTTTTACTTGAAAGCACCAAATAACCAAGAAGTTATTAGGCCATTCAGAATGGAAAATGTGGCCTCTCTCCAGTTATGTCAAGACTCTTTTTGACCCCATGAGCATCAGCAACAACGAGGAGCCCTCTAGTCTTTCTTACATTATTTTTGAAGTTAACTGTAGTCTTTAAATGAAAACATAAATATATGTGAACTAAGAGATATGAGAAATTACTTGTAACAGCACCTTAGTCAGTACTGAGTTGGTCAGAAGTAAAATCCATATACATTGTTCGGGGGAAATTTATAAAGTTTTGGAAAGCTTTTTGATTATGAATGAATAAACAAGAAAAGCAACAACACAGAGCCTATTAAAAGGGCAATCCCCCATGGAATGTTTAAAAATCACAGCATTAAAATATTAGCCTTAACCTAGTATTTGTGAAATATAACCCTGCATTAGAGACAAGACACAATAATCACTGCAGAAATTAATGATGTGAAGAATTTATGCTTAGAACATGTACAGAAGGTTGTAAACATAACAAATCTTAAATGTCATCTGTAGTCTTAAAAGTTTAAGATGAACAGGAAAACAACACATCAAAGTTAGGAAGATGAAATACAAGATTTGAATGGAAAGAGTGAAATTAGGCAGGAATGGAAAAAAAGGTAGAGTGGTGTGATAAGGAAAGGTTGTAAGATAATAAACATGGCTTTGACAGAATATAAAGCTGCATTTTGAGCAATAAGAAACTGAAAATCCCTGCAGAAAACTAAATTAAGTATGTGAAGAACTAGCCTGATAGATCCTTCCAGAATCTAGGGGAAATAAACAATACAAGTGAAAAATAAACAGTTTTCACTATGTTGGATAAAAGTAGAAATCAAACCAAAATATTTCCACCAAGCAGATATGATTAATAGAACAAAAGCAATCACCAAGGATTATTAACTTAAATGAAAACTTATTGTTTGTATCTAAAGAGTTTCTTGCATTTTGACAAGATTTTTAAAAACACCATTCCTAAATTTGTCTTCATGAAATTTTTTTGCTCTAAGGATAAATAATTCTGTAAGTATTCAGACATGTTTGCATGTTATATCCTAACACACAACTTGTCTTAGAAAGAACAAAATATAAAATTAGAAACTGGCAATGCTCTAAGACAATTTGAATGACATCATAACAGCACTTTGAATATTGTGCATTCTTCTAAATGACTTCCTGAATTTACAAAAATCAAAACCAATTCTCATACCACCCCCCCAAAAAAGTGGTAAATGAAAACCATATCTGTAAACTTCCATTAAGAAGATTTTTCAAAGCATTTTGACTAACATGCTTTCATTTTAAGTGGCCACCCACAGAGAGAAGATAGATACTTTAAAACACCTGATTTTGGATTTCTTATAAATCCAGGATCCACAAAGAACCCTAATCTCAGTGAAACCATGCATTGGAAAATTAAGCTTCTGCAGTAACACAAAGAGAAAATAAGACAATTGTTTTCATTGATTTTGATTCTTGCGAGTGAGGAAGGAATGTGTGTTGTGTGTGTGTGTGTGTGTGTGTGTAACAGAGAGAGAGAAAGAGACAAAGCGAGATATGCCTCTCTAGAGAATTCACAACCAACTGCTTAAGCTGAAGTAGGTTTAAGATTTTAATATAGTAACTGTGTGGACTAGGAACAACCCACAAAATATTGATGAAGAATTCCAGACTGGTAAAATATTTTGGACATTGGGTAAAAGTTAATGAAAAACCCTATACATCTATGATTCAAACCTATATAATTTTTCAAGATACAAGTTCATAGTTCAAAAGCAAAATAGATACACACACAAACACACATGAATATCTACACAAATGATATTCAGACATAACAGGTTTACATTCCCTTCTAAACGTGTCAGATAATAGTATTGTCACATTAGCACTCTCATTTAAAATTAATGACAAAGAAGCCACACGCATTGGCCTGATGGTTAAGTCACTGGTGAAGGCATCTACGTTTCTTCTCACAATACCTATTAACTGCTGGTGCTGCTTCTAACTCTACGTTCCTACTTTCCCATCAATGGACACTGTGAGGCAGCAAGTGATAGATGACTCAGATCATTAGGTTCCTGCCATCTATCTAATCTTCAATAGAATTCATACTGCACCCAGCTATCCAATTAGATGTGCCAAATGCATTTCCTTCTAGAATTTGATTTTTCATTTATTTTTCTATATAAAATGTGTAAGTTTTTGTTTTTTCACAATTTAATGAATCAGTTTAGTCACTTGTAATCAGGATTTGATAAAGAACTAACTAATAATAAAGCTGAAGAGGGAAAATGCCAGTAAAATACATATAATAATAGAAAATGAAACTTGTTGCTTTATTAGATTTCCATGCTTTCATGTGTGACTTTAAAGACTAATAGCTTAAAATCAAAACTAGTCATGGTTCCATGCAGTAAACTGCACAAATTCAATAGCATAACTAATGTTATTCAATATCTGTGTATTTTTTTAGAACCAGCTTTTTAAGACTGCAACTCACTTGTTTTGAATGAACTTATTTGAGTAGTATGAGGGAACAAAATGAACCTAATTATACTTCAGATTATATGGATAGAATATTACAATTAATATTCTAGAATAGATTTTGTTCAGAAGTATTATAATAATAACAGTATCTGTTATTATTATAATTATGTAGAACATTTGAATGTATAAATGCAAATATTTAATTCTTTTTCTATGTGTGGTAAACTGTAGGTGGTTAACTTCTTATGGATATGTTATTTATATGTTATTTAATCTGTTTAATTTATTTTTTTTAATCAAGCACGCAAATCATCAGATGCATCTGGTAGGAAACTTCTCTTTATAGAATAACTATTACTTCAATTGTTGTAAGTTGGGTTTTTGAGGTATCTTGTGTCAAATAGAACAGTTTATATTTAGCTTTTCTGTGAATTCTGTGTGTTAAAATGACTTCTAGTAACATGTGTATATGTGGGGAGAGGGAGAACATTCTTAGAAATAGCAATAGAGGTCTCAAGAGCTGTGTGTTTAAAGCAGGGCTGGTAGAAGCCAGTCAAGCAACTACTGCTTTTACACTTTCCAGGTTTTTGGCTTTTCAGTTATTTGTTAATAAAACTTCATTGTTTTCATGGATAATTTTGCTCCTATTTCTATCCTGTTTGTGCTTTTGACAAACATACACTAAGTAACTTTGAAATAGAATAGTGCTTTTAGTAATGTAAAATAGGGAGATGGAAATACTTTGATTATAAATACAATAGGAGATACTTGAATCAATTGAGTAATAAATTTTGATAGTTATTGCAAGATCCCATTAAAAACATATTTAGTATTTGTTTATAGTACCTAATACCCACTGTTGTAACAATAAGTTTCCTAATATTCCTTATATTAACCATCAGCTTATGATGTTCAGGCCTCTAACCCTCATCATTTTCTTGTTACCTTATTTGACTCTCCCCTTACTTCACACACACTGAAAAGCATCACCACTGCAAACATGCCCCTCCCTGGCTGGCACCTGCTTGCTCCTACGTTTCACCTCCCACCAGTGTGTACACTCATAGCCTATGCTTTATCTATTCCAAGTCATTTGCCATTTCCTGGGTAAATTATGCTCTTCCTCTATGCCATCTATACAAGATCATCTCATCTTAAAATTTATTCCCTAACTTTATCTTCCGGAGGGAGTCGTTCTTCAACACTCAGTACAAAAGCTGTGTTCTCTATTATTCCCTACCTTACTATCCAAGAATTTCCTCTTGCAAAATCCAACAGCTCCTTACAATCAATTGACTTGGTTTTAGTGCTTATCACACTCCATTAAAATTTCTCCCATTAGCTTTCTTTCATCTCCCTAACAGCAAAGAGATACTTATTGTTTGTAGTATTCAGAGATTCACTGTATCATCTGACACTGATAAAGGTGCTTAATAATTGTTGAAAAATTAAAATAGAACCATGGATACAAGAATTGAAAGGTACAATAGCTGAAAGAAGCTATGGTATCTTTCAGAGGAGAGCGAAACTGTTAAAATTCATTAGAGTTGAATTACAGAAATCTAGAGTTGGTAATAGAATAGGTCTAGGATATATATTTCCACATTTGCATGTTAATATTATTAGTCCTATTGCTATGGAAAAATAAAGTTTTGTTGTGATTTTAAAGAAACTTGGAATTAATTTTGGCATTTGGCAGTGGTTATTGTTTATTTCTTTACCATTTAATTTTAAAATGTTCTACTCAAATATATGTAGTCAAACGAGTTTCTATATATTGATTTTTATTTCTGCATATAATCTGGGAAAATGTGTTTGGTGACTTCATGCTGACATGCTATTTTTATAAGTGTGATTTAATCATTGTTTAATTTATTTTTTGGACACAAGCTTGCTCCTCTTCAGAAATATCTGGTAGGCGACTATTTTCTAATAAAATAAATGTTATCTTTAAACTTTTTTATTTGGTTGTTTGCAAGCTTTTGATCTTCTCTTAAAGTTTTGTTTATTAAGTGTATTGAATAAATGAAATAATTTAGTTGATGAAGAAACTTCTTTGTTAAATTTTTGTTGAGCTTGAACTATAGAGCTGATTCATACAGATATTATAGTTTACTGTGATTTTAAAAATAAAAATCTTACCATTGTGCAATGAAAGGTGCAATGGGGAACAGAAGACACAGAATGTAATACCCAGAACTTAAGTTACATCACCCAGATTAATGTGTGGTTTTTTGAAAAATGCATGCCACTATTAATTTTTAATGAAATGACTAGTATTTTAATATTTACTGTAGAAAATTTTATTCTATCCATTTTGTTCTGTTTGTTCCTTTCCAATATTCCTAAATTGAATAAAAGTTAAATAAATTTGTGTGTTTAGTGTCCAAGAGGTATAAAAAAGGAGGTGAATTTTATTACATCATGAATGTCTAAAGAACCAAACATATAGAGTAGTTGTAATCTATATGTAATCTATATGAATGATGATCTTTTAAAAGAGTTGTAGGATGCAGTAATGCACAGCGAGCTCTTTTAATGATAAGCAGTTATCAACTTTATCTACCATAGCACCCAAAGGTGCCTAATAAGTAATTTGCAAAATGTTATTTGTAAACCATTCTTCATTGTAGAATTATCTGAAATATATGAGATAGTTTTCCTTCATATGAGTTCTTATTGAATTTTCCTAGTGTTTAAAGGGAACTTTATAATTTAGATTTTAAGTTATAAAACACAAATAAATACAAAAATATTTCAGGAATGGATTAAGAATTATTCTTATGTACCTTTAGAAATACATACATATTGCCTTTGTTTATTTTCTCTTCATCTCATGACACAATTGAATATTCCTTCATGTAATTCCAGGTGAATATATAGATTCAGTTTTGATGTTTATTTTCCTTAGAATACAATCTGATAGACTCTAAAGAATACAAACTAGGGAGAAAATAAATATATTTAGGAAATGAATATAATTGAAAATGAATACTCCTGAGATAATTTGAGTTAAATTTGTTGTGCCTTCCTTTTATCTAGTAACTAGTTTGCCCTGTTATTAACCAACACAGACATATTAACATACAATTCTTGAGTGTTTTTTTTTTCTGTAGATAGAGATACTAATTAATGTTGGGTACTTTATCAATAGGTATCCATGATCAGTAGCTAAATATTAGGACCAATAGTTTAACTATGGAACAAGCTCCAAAACCTGTGACTATGCTAAGAAACCATGATGATTTAAATATGAACATGGCTTATATAATAGAACTGAAAAACTAAAAAATTTAAGAAACGTAGAGTATGTACACACTTTACAGGGAACTCTGGTTTGAATATGGTGCAATATATGAATCTAGCTGTCATACCTCTTATTTTTATCAACTTACCAAACAAAAAAAAAAACCAAAAACAAAAACCAACAACAAAAAAGCCTGGTTTCCTTGGTGAAGTTTTTAAAAATAAGCAGAAAAATATGTTGTTAGAAATTAAATCCACCGATATCTAAAAGTAATAAAAGCCAAATTAAATACATGTATTTTGGGATTGCTTGTTGTTTTAGGACCATTTATAATCTAACATTGAGAAAAAGTTAATTTTTAATAATTAAATATTTGTTATTTACATTTCTATGCATATTTTGCCTCATGTATTTTTACAAAAAGTTATATTCATCTTTACATCTAAATAGTGAACATGTGAACTGAAGATTTAATGCATGTTTTTATCTTTAAATGAGAAAAATATTTCAGGAACAGAGTTTGCATCATAAAAGTAATGACAATATAAATTAATGATAATGTTCAAAAGAAAATTTCTTATGTTGGAAAAATTCACAAGTGAATATTTGACCAATACTCATTTCTCATAATTTTACAGATCTTCATGATAGCTCTTGTTTACTTTTTGTCTTGAGGGACTTTATTTCTCCTTAGTTTGTGAAATATAACTTTTATTTTTCTTTTTAAAAATTTATTTTAAATTTCATGATACAATTCCATAGGCTCTGGGATTTCTGTTACCCTTTTTAAAATAGAAGGTAAACTCAGAATAGTAATGAGTAAAGAGAACCTTACAAAGTTTTTACAGAATGTTCTATCAGTGAATGAAATTAAAAGTAGACCTGGATCTTTTTATTTTATGTCATCTCTAAGCAGATAAAATTATTTCCCTCCCCTAATCATCCCAGTGTACCATCTTTGGCAAATACTGCTACTCCATTCTTTGATCAGTTAGGTTTTTTCTTAATTCTATATTTAAGTGTTATGAAAAGCTAAAACAGGACATTAGAGGTATTTTTTGTTTTTGTTTTTTTTTCCTCATTCTTTTTTTTATTTCCAGATTTCATGCTCATGCAGAGATCTACATTTTATACTGGAACTTGAGGCACAGGATTTAAAGATGTTTTCCAAAATTTCTTTAGAAGTAAGAGATATATTCAGGAAATCAAAAATTATGTCTTAAAAGTCAGGTTGCTTTTATAATAAACCATGTCTTATTTTAGAGCCATCATTTCTATATTAAAGCCATGTGGAGGCATGCCTTTTTCATGGGGGAAAAAAAATCTTATAAAACCTCTATCTCTTGGTTGTAATTAATACATTAACTGTTAGAAGTAAAATGACATGAGCCATCTTAATTTCCAAGAAAATTTAAACACTTTTCCCTCAAGTGCACCTCATGGGGAGAAATTGGATCATATTTGGATAATTAGGTGCCACTGCTTAATTGTTTTGATATATGTATGAGCTTTTTTACAATGGGAAAGGTTGTAATTTTGAAAAAGTTCTGTCTCAAATATATATATTTGATAATATTTTACAACAAAATACTAATGAAAACTTATAGAAAGTAGTAAAATAATGTCTCCAGAAATATATTACTTAAAAACTAATGATTGCTTTTGATGAAATCATCATCATTCAAATTGTCAAAAAGTTTAGAATGTCAGCAGCCTTTTTGATGAATAACAGTGTTTTGCTAAAGGTAACTTCACTGGGGATGAAAGAGGGAATAATAACATATGTATTTAAATGTCTGACTGAAATGCTACATTTTGAGCAAGAGCAAGCTAAAATAAAAACTGCTTGCACAGTCAGGTTCTATTCTCATACCTAGGAACATGAGTGGATTTTGTTAATGCCAATTTTTTCTCTTTGAAATTTTCTTTGTATTACTTGTTTTTAGGCAGCTAAAATTGTTTTATAAACAGAAGCCATCAGTAGTGAATAGGTAGAAAGACAATGAAAAAAGAGTATTTTCAAATGCTTTGTCTAAAACTTCATATCACAGCTGTATAAAATAATGATCTATATAGAATCTACATGTGTATGTGTGCATATATTTGTTTTAATTACTTTAGTGTAAATTTTAAATAAACCTCAGACACTTTTTGTCCCAAATTTAGAATGAGATTTTGTTTAAATTTTCTATGATGTTTTGTTCTGTTTTGTTTTTAAGATGGTGTGAGTATCCTCTGTGTGTTTCTTAGTCCGTATTTTTTCTCTCTACCCTTATTTAGTACAAAAAACAAAAATTTAATAACTTGAATTCTTATACCTGAAAACAAATGAGTTATTTTTGAACTCCACAAATGAACACATTCATATCCTCCAGGTTTTTTTTTTTTCTGTAAACGCTCAGTTACCAGGACTGCTGACTTATTTATCTACAATCACTATTTTGTCCTGGATTAATTTCTAACTTTTGCATTACTTTCAGGCTTGTTTTCAGGAACAGTATTTTTTATTAGATTTGAAGCTATCGAAATGATCTTCATCATAGAAATTTGAGAAAGTATTAGCTTCTAGTTCAAAGATACTGAATACCTCTCTTATGTGTCATGGTAGTGAGTACACAGTTTGTTACAATAGGTGCCATAGTCTGTTTTTTCTTAAGAATTATTTACATGTAGTGTTCTTACAAGACACAATTTGTTTCTATGTATAATTTCAGTGAAAGAGTTTCTAGCCAAAGCCAAAGAAGACTTCTTGAAAAAATGGGAGAATCCTCCTCCGGTAAGAAATATTTAAAATATCCTTATATTCATCATTTTAAAATCATGATCTAAGTAAAATCATGATTCTTGCCCAAGTAATTTACTAGTTTAGAAATTTTAATTTTCCATTGGCATTAGTAACTAGAAGTTTAAGATGGAAATGTTGCCATAGTATTGTATTTTGATTTATTAGTCCATAATTTTATGTATGCTTAAATGAGAAAAGGAACTAATTTCTGTGTTAGTAGCTGATTACAAATTTAGATACTAATTTCAAGTTGCTGTAAACTCTTGCTACATTCTATTAATATGGAATTACAACTTTAATAGCATACACAAATGTTAGACATGATTTCAAAATATTTTGTATTTCATAACATGAAGTCGAAAAGGATGTGAGGAAGTTAGTATATTTATTATATAAAGAAAATACTGACTAATATAAAGTTATATTCTCTTTATCAATAAAGTTTATTTCCATTATTTGGTTAGACTTCTAAATACTTCAATTTACCTAGTTGCTAAAACCGAGAGTTAAATACTAACCCATATAATAAATTTGAACTGGATTAAACAGGCATTTTCTACTGTGATAAAGAATCTCATTAAGTTTGAAATTAAAATGTTTTTATTTTAAAAGACATGTTTGATTTGCCAAGAGATTTAGTCAACGATTATGAACTCTAATATCTATCCATATTTCTGATTTTTAAAAGAATCTTTATGCATTTCGTTCTCAAACTAAGTATTATGCCGACTGGCCCTTAGAAATATTTCATCTGAGATTTTCTTTGAGATGTTTGTAATGACAACCTATTGAATAAGTGGGCCAACAATTACTACTTGTTGCTACTTAGCACATAATTTGTTCCTAGTAATTTTCATTTTGTTGTGGCAGCAACAAATTCAATAGATTGATGGCTCCAATTCTTTGCTTCTGTGTTTAGTCAAAGCCAAAGAAAGATATTCACTTGTAACAAAACATCTATTCAAGAAGAAAAAGAGGCTGATTATTGTTCTTGGACTCTGGCTTTGGTTCCTTGTAGAATGAGGAACTCTTCTTTCCTTGTTACTGTTTTAGGTAACACTGGGTTATTATAACAACAGGGAGAGAAAGCCACTAGAATTTCTCATACTGCTATTATCTAGTTTTGTAAGCATGTATACAAATAGAAATTAAGTAAAATGGGCTTTTTACAGTGAAAGAACTCTGATCCCTCAGCTCATCCTATTCATCATAGTCATTTACAAGTATAGACAGACTATGTAACAATCATGATTCTTATCAGTATTATTATGGTCTGTTTGCAATTATTAAAATGTGTAACTAATTTGTTACAGATCAGTATTGGGTGTTTATGTTGGATGATGAATTTTAATATTTCAGCTGAGGTTGTTATTCCTTCCAATTACTGTTATGCTGTGTTTTGCAGTTTAGCATTTATTAGATCCTTACATATTCAAAGCGGTGAGGGGAGGATGGAACCAATGACTCAGAATTATCACTAGTACTTTTATTTTTTAAATGGATATTTATAAATTAAATGATACATTCTAATTACATATTGCTAAAGCTATTATAATGATCATAATCTTCTAAGTTTTTGGCTCTTTTTTTTTTTTGTAAATATACAGAACAATGCTGGACTTGAGGATTTTGAAAGGAAAAAAACTCTTGGAACAGGTTCGTTTGGGAGAGTCATGCTGGTGAAGCATAAAGCCACTGAGCAGTATTATGCCATGAAGATCTTAGATAAGCAGAAGGTTAGTGTATTGCTGTTTCTTTTTGCATGATAAATTTCAGTTTTACCAGCTAAGGTACTAAGCAGATACAGCAGAATGGTCTATATTGAAGCCATCAAATAATTTTCATGTTATATTCAATTTTTATTGTCATTTTTGTGACTATATGATATATTATGCTTTTAGTAGTATGTTATTATTTCAACAATTACCCATAATATGAATCATTATGCTTACTAACAAAGTATTGAATTAAATATGTGAAAAACAAGTTTGTCCACTGTTTTCTGCCTTTTGGAAAATATGGAATTTAATTACTTAAGTTTTAATTAAGATATCAGAAGTTTGTTTTATTTTATGAATGTAGTAGAAACCTCTTAATATGATTGTTTTGATAAATTTAAATGCCAATTAAAGCATAGGAAAGTTTTAAACCTACAAATAGTAAAAAATCATTTTGAGTATTAGTAATATTTTAAGCATTTATTGAAGCTGATATGTCAGAATATGTGAAGAATTCATGCTTTAAATATTAAATATCTACTTCACTAATAATCACAATTAAGGGAAGAAAAATAAAAATAACAAATTCTGATACATTATTTTAAAGATATTATATTCCCAGGAGTAATTTTTTAGCCTATTGGGACATAGGCAGAAAAATGTGGAAAAAACACTAGATGTCAGTTTTACAAATCGTGGTTGGACTCATGCTATACAATAGAAACATAAGTGAGCCTCATGCACAACTTGAATACTTCTAGCAGCCACACTTAAGTTGTAAAAATAGTTGAAAACTTTTCCATGACATGTTTAATAGCTTGGTACATCCCAACTATTTTCATTTCAATATATAATTAATATAAGATATGTGAAAATGATTTTATATTTTTACCCTGAGACTTGACAATCTGAATGGTATTTCATACCTAGAATATATCTTTATTTGGATAAGCTACATTTTACCTGTTTCATAACCACATGTGTCTAATTCTTAGCATCATGGACAGTGTAGTGTTAGACTTGTCTAAGGTTTTAGTTCAACCTCCATATTAACTAGAGCTAATCTGTAACATGAAAAGGGGTTGTGGTTTAAAAGTTAGTCTCCTTAAAATTAAATATGCCAATACACATATTTACGAATACATTTTTCTCATTCTCATGACTTTTCTAACCATGATTCTTGAGAAGAAATAGTTAAATTACTCTATGCACTTACTTCCTATTCATTATATAGTCTTCAACAATTTGGCTTCCTCCTTTTTTATCCCATATCTTTTGCTACTCCTCTGAAATGGCTCTACCAGAGTTGAACAGTTGAGCGACCTTATTGCTGAGTCCAGTAGAATGTGCTTTATGCTCGTCTTACCTAATATTTTTTAAGCAAATGGCTGTTCTCAGCACACCATTGAATCTGTTTTATCCCTGGACTTATGAAATTTCATACTCTGCTGATTATGCTTCTACCCTCCTGGGCTCCTCTTCTTTGTTTAACCCTTTTTTTTTTGCTATTTTGTTCTTCTGTTTCCTCTATTATTTAAAGCTTGGTAATCCTGAAGCTCTGCAGTAGCTCCTCTTCTTTGCTTATACTGTGCACTCACATCTAATAGCCTTGGATATTTCTGGAGCTCCTCACTTCTAATTTGTACAGTCTTAGCAAAGGGCTCTTAGAAATTGCTTTGCTTTCATTTCTAGATAGCTTATTATATCTCAGAGAGTAAAGGCAATTTGTGTTAGTAGCAGAACAACAGCAAAGCACATCATAAACCTGCCAATAAAGTGTTATTGTATGTGTAACTCATAACATTTTTGCTTTCTTAAAAAAATTAATGGAATATCTTTATTAAAAGTATTGAAAAGACAGCGAGCTGTGTACCATTTTATGGATTTAAAGTGATTATTGAAGAAGCCTTCACATTTTAGTAAGGTTATGAGTTGTTAAAACAATTACTGAGTTGATTATATCAGGAATAAATCATGGAGATTTACTGTTTCTCAGAAGAATGGCTGCCATTTTATAACATTTTTATTACTGTAGTATACATGATTAGATAGAAAAAACTTGAATTTTTTGAAGTCTGCTTATTTTAATTTGCTAAAATAAGCAACAATGTGGTGAACACTTGGCCTAGTAATTAAGATGCCCTTGCCACATGCAAAGTTCCTGGGTCCTATAAATGGCTCCTGCTTCCAATTCCAGCTTCCTGTCAGTATGTACCATGGGAGGCAACATGTGATGGCTCAAGTACTTGAGTTCCTGTCACCCAAATAGAAGACCTGGGTTGACTTGCTAGCTCTTGGCTTTGACCTAGTCCAGTCCTGGCTGTTGCAGGCAATTGAGAGTGAACCAGAAAATCGTTTAATTACAACTTGCCCTTCTCTCTCTGCCACTCCCTTTTTCCCCTCCTCCTCTCCCTTTTCGTTTACTCCTTCCCCTTCATCTCTCCAAGTCTTGACTAAAAGGAACAGGAAAAAAATAATTAAATAATAGTTCATAATAACTAGTATTTCTGTTAATTACAAATTTTGAGTTTACCTGCTGGGCTTCTTCTGTCATCAAGTATATGCTATGAGGAATTGAAAACCAGTACAGAAATTAAGAAAATTATATTTCTGCAATATATACTGTGTGTCAGTTGTTGCTTAGCACTTTAAATGAGAAGGCTTTGTTTAAAAATTTGTGGAAAGTGGAATTAAAAAGTTAAATTTGTCTCCCCTCCACATTTTGAAATCCATACTCAAACTTCACAGAGTAAACATTTTCCATGACCCTTCATATATATTTTGTCAGTTAATCTTCACAACTGGGTTTTTTTTTTTGGAATTAGTCTATTTTTTTGGAATTGCTTCCATGTAAGCAATTCTTTCTAAGTTTTAAGGCTAACCTTATAAACCAAGAATTTGATCTCATTTGTCTCGTTTCAGTGTCTTTACTCCATATTCTGCTTTTTCAATTTTCTTTAAAATGTGTGAGAATGGGGGTCATTTCATACAATATTTAAGATGCCATTTAGAATGCTGCTCACATCTGATATTAGAATGGCTGAGTGCAAGTCTGGGATCTGCTCAAAATTTGAGCTTCCTGCTAATGCATGTCCTGGAAGGCAGCTAATGAGTTCCCAATGATTTGATACCTCTGTGGAAGACCTGGAAGGAGTTCCTAACTCCTGGATTCAATTTGGCATGAGAACACTTGTTCCAGATATTTGGGAATTGAGCCAGTGTATGAGAGATATATAAATAAATATATTTTAGAATATATATTTTAAAGATAAAATGCATGAATTTTGTTATTTCTAATATCATTTTTACTACCATCTAGTTGGGAGTTAACATTGTCTGGTTTTACCATAACATTTTTATTTCTACAACTCTAGACTTTAATCTCTGCTAATTCATCTTTCTCATTGCCAACAAAGTTTTCTTACCATGTTGTATCATTTACTCTCCCATCAAAAACCTTCATGATGTTTATTAAATAAAATCAGAATTCTACAGCCAACTTTCAGACCTTCCACACTTTTCTTCCAAATTCCAGTGTAATGTCTTCTCTGGTGTTATTGCCTACATTTCTTCTGTAGTTTATTTCTCTAATTTAAGATGGCATACAGGAATATATAGGACATAATAATTTCTCAAGTGTTTGGCTAAAAAAATAGAAAAGAAAGGAGAGAGAGAGAGAGAGAGAGAAAGTAAGCGAGGGAGGAAGACCTGGTATCAGATAAGTACTTTTAAATCCATTTAAGATAGAAACTTTACAAGGTAAATTCAGGAAGAGGCATTTATGTGGCTGTTGGGATGCCAGTTAAAACACTTGGATCAACACTGGAAAATCTGGATTCATTTCTCACCCATATTTCCAAATACAGCTTCCTCCTAACACAAACCCTTGGAAGGGATGGGTGATGGCACCCGTTTGAGAGATTTTGATTGAATACCAGTTTCTGACTCTGATTGTCACTCATTGCCAGCACCAGCCATTGCGTTGGAACTAAGGAATGAACTGAGAAATTGGAACATCATGTCTCTCTGCTTTCCAAATAGAAAGATAAGTAGTTAGCTAGTGTCAGGGTCCCTTGGCCAGCAAGTCAAACCCGGACACTCGTTGTCTTTGCAGAACGTTTATTGTGGAGAAGACACAGCAAAACCGGCGTGTGGCGGCCGCGCAGCAGCCACCGTGCAGCCGCGCAGCAGCCACAGCATCGCAAAGCGCGCTCTCTCTCTCTCTCCCTGTTTCTCTGGCTCCCTTATATATTGGGTAACCCGGCCAATCAACGTAAAGGTCACCTGTGCACGCAGCGGGCAGGCCAATCATCACACAGATCACGCGCTGTCCACGTGCCATCCACGCACCCCTGGGCCAATCACAGCAGACTTCTTGTGACTTGTTTTTTTCTAGCACAGGAGGAAGCAGCAGTCCGGTGCCGTCCGTCTAGGGTGTGGGATGCAGGCTCCCTACAAGCTAGGTTGATAGGTAGGTAGATAGATAGGTAGGTAGGTAGGTAGATAGATAGATAGATAGATAGATAGATAGATAGATAGATAGATAGATAGATAGATAGATAATTTTAAGGAAATACGATTATATAATTCTACATGAAATTTGAATATAAAATTTGAATACCATTCTAGCTATTCCTTTAAAAAAATGATTTGAAATACCGACTGATGGAAGATAGAAAGAGACAGAGAGCTTCATCTTTAATCTGCTGGTTTGTCCACAAATGCCCGCATTAGCTGGGGCTGGACTTAGACATCTGCTAGAGGCACAGAACTTTATCTAGTCTCCCACATGGTAGGGTTCCAGGTCTTTGGGCCTCATCCCCTGCCTTCCAAGGTGCAATAGCAGAAGGCTAGATTGGAAGCAGAGGACCCTGGACTTAGTCCCAGGCATTCCAATATGGAATTCCAGTTTCCTAAATGGTGCCTGAACTAGCCATACCACAACCCCAAACCTTAATTGTCAATTTTACTCTGCCATTTCTAAATACTTCATTACCAATTTTTTTTGCCTTTTGTCTATTTTAATTTATTTTTGTTGGTTTTTAATTTCACTACCAGTTCTGCGAAGCACTGTTATTAATTATAGCTAAATGAAACTGCAACTCAGATTTTCTGTGTTTTTCGTACATTTTTTTTTTTAATTTTAATTCTGACTGAAATTTTTTTTTAAAGATTTATTTTTATTATTTCTTATTGGAAAGGCAGATATACAGAAAGGAGAGACAGAGAGGAAGATCTTCCGTCCAATGATTCATTCCCCAAGTGAGCACAACGGCCAATGCTATGCCGATCCGAAGCCAGGAGCCTCTTCCGGGTCTCCCACGCGGGTGCAGGGTCCCAAAGCTTTGGGCTGTCCTGGACTGCTCTCCCAGGCCACAAGCAGGGAGCTGGAAGGGAAGCGGGGCTGCCGGGATTAGAACCGGCGCCCATATGGGATCCCGGGCGTGCAAGGTGAGGACCTTTAACCACTTGCGCCACCGCGCCGGGCCCCTGACTGAAATTTATTTTCTCTTTTTCCTTAAGCTTAGTAATCTATCTTTTAAGATCCATTTTAATCTTTTCCTATTTAAATAGATTTTAATAATTTTTTTGAATTTTTACAATTTGCCAAATATTATGTACATCATTGAGGCGTATAATTATGCCATACACCTACCTTAAAAGTAAAAGTAAAAGTATATAAATAAATAACCTGGAACTTAGAAAAGTTGAATACTTAGTTTCAAGTAAACATTTGTTCCTCTAAGTACATATGACATGATTACTCTCATTTAGCAATGTTTCCTATATCTCTATTCATATATTTTTACCTCCTACTTTCAAATAGAATTTGTGCAGCATGCAGGGAAGCATTCCTTTCTCCTGCAATACCAGTTATTATACAGAAGATATAATTAGTGCATGTGCATAATTTGAAGTAAGTTAGATTGTAATTTGCTAACTTAAAATAGAACTTGTCAAATTTCCGTTCTAATCATGTAAAGTCCAGTACATACATAGTTGCCTTAAGAATGTAAGTTAGAAAGCCTCTTGTTGTCCTTTTCATTACTTATTTCACAAGCCAGTATGTGTTTATGTTTAATTCAAACCTTGCTATATGATAATACACAAAGAGAAATCTAATAATTCCCTTTGTAATGTCACAAAATTTATTGTGATAATCATGGATTAATTGACCCTATAATTACTTAAAATAGGCAAAGGGTCAACCAACTACCTCATGTTGTGAGTTGAAAACTCCTGAAGTATAAAAAGAGTTGAAATAACAACCCCAAGGTTAGAATGCTGATTGAATAGACGACCTGGAGAAGAACACAAATCTTCTAACTCCAGTCTAGTATTCTTGGCTCAGTATTATTTGTAGACTCCTAATTTTATGTATAGAAGTGAATATATACCTTTTTTTCTCACAAATAATTTCTTCTTTGATTATATTGACAGTGGATTTTTCATGAATTGCTTTAATTATGTTGTGGAGTGTTCCTTCTGTGCTTACCTTGCTTAGAGTTTTTAGCATGATGGAATATTGGATTTTATCAAATGCTTTCTCTGTATCTGTTGAGACTATTGTGTGATTTTTATTCTTCAGTTTCTCTATGTGGTGTATTTACGTTTATGGATTTGCATATGTTAAACCATCCCTGCATGCCAGAAATAAATCCCACCAGATCTGGGTGAATGATCTGTCTAATGTATTTTTTTATTCTGTTGGCTGGTGTTTTGTTGAAGATGTTAGCGTCGATGTTCATCAAAGATATTGATCTGTAGCTTTCTTTGTTGTGTCTTTCTGGCGTTGGTATTTAGGTGATATTAAATTCATAGAAAGAGTTTGGAAAGATTGCCTCCCCTCCAATTGTTTTGAATAGTTTATAAAGAATTGGAGTCAGTTCCACTTAAACTGTTCTGTAGAATTCAGCCATTTGGGCCTGGGCTTTTCTTTGTTGGGAGGGCTTTGCCTACTGACTGTCTCTGTTTCAGTTATACACTTATTTATATTTTGTGATGCCTTGTGACTTAGTTTTGGTAGATGGTATAAGTACAGGAATCTGTCCATTTTTGGAAAACTTCTGGCATGTAGCTGCTTGTAGTGATTTATGATTATTCTCTGTATGGCTGAGGTATCTATTGTTATGTTCCCTTTTCCATCTTTGGTACTATTGATTCTTGTATTCTCCAGCTTGTTGTTGTTGTTGTTAGTTGGGCCAGTGGGGTGTCTATTTTTATTGTTTTCTCAAAGAATCAGCTTTTTGAATCATTGATTTTGTGTATTGTTCTTTTGATCTCTCTTTGGCTTATTCCTTCTCTTATTTTGATTATTCCTTTTTTCTATTGTTCTTCAGATTGTTTTGCTATTGTTTTTCTAGTTCCTTCATGTGTATATATAGCTTAGTTACCTGATGTCTTTCTTGCTTCCTAATATAAGCACAATTGCAATATATTTACCTCATAATACTGCCCTGACAGTATGCCATAGGTTTTGGTATATTGTGTTTTTGTTTTCATTGGTTTCAAGGTATTTTTAAATTTCTTGTTGAATTTCTTCTCTAGCCCATTGCTTGTTCAGTAGCATGTGGTTCACTTCCAAAAGTTTACAAATTTCCTGGGGAGTAGTTTGATTAGTTGGTCTCTAGTTTCATTCCATGGTGATCTAAGAAAATGCATGGTATGATTTCAATTTTTTTTGAAGTTGGTGAGGCTTGTTTTGTGACCTATCATGTGGTTGATCCTGGAGAAGGTTCCATGTACAACTGAAAAAAATGTATATTCAGTGTCCATGGGGTGGAAGGGTTTGTATATATCTATTAAGTCCATTTGTCCGATTATCTGTGTGAGATCTGTTGCTTCTTTGCTGAGTTTCTGTCTTGGTGATCAGTTTATCGATGTTAATGGGTGTTAAAGTCCCCAGCTATTATTGTATTGGCATCTGTGTCTCCCAGTAGGTTAATCAATAATTGTCTCATATAGCTAGGTTCTCTTGTATTTGGTGCATATAAATTTATTGTTTTTTCTTCTTGGTATATAACTCCATTTATCATTATGTATTGTCCCTCTTTATCTCTTCTAATATTTTTCATGGTGAAGTTTACATTATCTAATAGTAGAATGATTACACCAACACCTTTTTTGTTTTCCATTGGAATGAAGTGTTCTTTTCCATTCATACACTCTTGGCTTTCTTGTATCTTTATTGATTAGATGTGTAGAGACTGGCATATGTTATCAAAGATATGTTAGTAATTAGTGCAGTCTCTGCAGAAAACAGTATAGAGAGCTGTTTAAAGTATAGAAGTAGACTTTTCATGTTGTCCAGCAATCCCACTACTGGGTATATACCCAAAAGACATGAATGTATTTATACCAAAAAAATACTAGTACCATCATATTTTTAACAACAGTGTTCATCATAGCCATAAGATGGAGGCATCTCAGATGTCCATCAAGGGATGAATGGATGAAGAAATATATATATACATGCAAATATATATATATACATGCACACACAGTAGAATCCTGTGAGATTTAAAAAGAATAAAAATCTTTAATTTTCATAAAAAGAGTTGTAACTAGGGAGTATCTTGTTGAGTGAAATACATGAGACAATAAAACAAATTCTGTGTATTCTTTCTTGTATGTGGAAATTAGAATTTTAAAAGTCAAAAAACAAAACAAATGGAAATGACTGTGTATCATTTTTGTTTTAAATATGGTGTTCTGTCGAACTTTATTTTTAATCTTTATCAGGCAAATTATTAGGCGTTTTGAGGATCTGTTACTATCTTGAAGTTGGTTGTATATTGGTGAAGTTGACTTTTTAAAAAAAATTTGATCGGTTATGGCCCTTGCTTTTGATTGTCAAACTCTTTATTTAGTGGAGCATTAAGCGTTTGACTGTAATGCAAAATGAAAATGTTCGTCTTAAAAGAAAACAAAAACTAAAATAAAATGTGAAAAAGATGTTCTCTTCTCCCACCTATTCAGTCCCTTTGCTTTTTTCTCCCGCTTTCCCTCCCTTCCTCTTTATACGTCACTCTGCCTTTCAAATACATAAAATAAATCTTTATAAAAGAAAGAAAGAAAGCAACTATCTGATGATTTACACTATAAAAAATCATTTATACATCTCAAAGGTTGCATTTTCTTACCTTTACCGTGGAATTATGGTCTTTACTAAGTCAAAATGAATTGACTTCCTTTTCTATTGAATAAACAATGCAAAGGGGTCTTGATTAATCCTGCAAGACCTGTTAGAAGGATGCAGGGCTTATTTGCCTAAATATTTCATCTTCTTTTGTGACTTTGTAAATTCAGTATTTAGAATCTATACTAGTATTTATTCATGTATTTTTTTTATTTATTGACTTTTTGTTAATCCTCAATTTTTGAGGTATTTAAAAGTCAGTACTTCACTAAATTGATTGAACCCAGCTTCTTTATGGATTGTAAGGCTTTAAAAGCGAGATATTTTCACATATTAATTTTAAAGTAATTTAAAGACTTGAATCTTCTTTAAAAATTGTTTTTTTAATTGAAAAGGCAGATTTTCAGAGAGAAAGATCTTTTGTGTGCTTGTTCACTCTCCAAGTGGTCACAACAGGCAGAGACCCAGGAGCTTCTTCAGGTCTCCCACGCAGGTTTTGGGCCATTCTCCTCTGCTTTTCTGAGGCACAACCAGGGAACTGGATTGGAAGTGGAAATGCTAGCACATGAATAGGATCCCATAAGGAATGCATGAACTTGAAGATGGACATTTAGCCAGTGGACCAGTAGCGCAGTTCCAAGACTACAATTTTCAATCCCGTATTAGTTTGCACTTTTTAAAAATTTGAATCTAATACATATGGTTGGTACAAGTGGAGCAGTCTTGCTTTTAAGAGTTCATTATTATATGAAAAACATTTCTTTTAAAATTATGGGAACTGTGGTTTTGCTTAAAATATGTTTATCTCTCAATTGCAGGTTGTTAAACTGAAGCAAATAGAGCATACACTGAATGAAAAACGAATATTACAGGCTGTGAATTTTCCTTTTCTTGTTCGACTGGAATATTCATTTAAGGTGAGATTTCATAACCTCTAAATAACATATTTACCAACTGGTGATATTTTTTAAAGTATGAAGCTTAGTAGGATCTAAACAATATGATAGCAATAGAGAATGCAAATAAGCAAACATTTTTATATAAATTAAAGATTTTATGTAATTAACTTTTTTATTTATTTATTTTTTCAATTTTGACAATCTTTACATAGTTAATTAGGGTAAAAAGGTTCAAGGGCTACAGGAAAGTGGATAAGACTAGTATTTTTTCCATATTGTTTCCTTCATGTTTAAAGGGGAGTATTAAAGGAGAAGGCCCACCCAATTTCCCATCCTCCCCAGGTCCCGGATGTAGGGCATGCTCTGAGGATCTTGCTCAAGTGGTTTTGATATTTCAACAGTTATGAATCTTGCCACTGCCAATCTTGCCACTCCAAGCACTATGAGGTCTTTGAAAAATCCGCTGATTGACATAGTCCATCATAGCTGAGATGGTTGGTTGACCTGTTCTGTCTTCTCTCTTTTCTTCGTTAGGGTTCTGAGTCCAGCATTTAGATAAGGAAGATCTCCAAAGAAACTTTGTCTGAGGTGTTCTCAAGCCAGATTCTTGTATGTGCTAGCAAGTACAGGGCCCGGCACAGTCCATCACCCTGATCAGCTGGTAGTTGTAATTGCTGGGTTGGTTCTGTTTTCACTCCCAACTTCTACTAGAACCAATGGGTGTTGCAGTCCAGCCTGGTTCTGCCCAGCACATACTTGGTGTTCGCATAAACCAGTGGGAGCTGCAGCCTAGTTGGAGCGACCCGGAATAACCCCCACCAGGCCCACCCCCTACCCTGGTTTGCCAGTATGTGTAGCAGTAGTCCAGTCTGTCCCACACCCCATTCCACCCCGGCCGCTGTCTTAGTTTGATGTCCTCCTGTGGAAGTGGTAACCCAAGAGGGATGAGCCCACTATTTCCCTCCCAGGCCTCTCCCACTCCCAGATTATGCACTCTCCGGATAGTTCTGTGGTTTGACTTGACAGAACTAGCCCCCAGTGCCAGCCTCTGCCAGGTGATGCTGCGGCTAAACCCAAACAACCCTCACCCACTCTAATTTTGTTTGCACCAGTAGGAATAATCAGCCCAGCCCGGCTTTTCCCTGATCTAGGCCACATGAGGCACACAGGTGTTGTTGGCCTGCCTAGTCTGGTCTGCCCCCATCCCAGCCTACATTCTCCTGCGGGAGTAGCTGTCCAGCAAAGGAACCCTCCCTTATTCCCATGCCGGCTCTGCCCCCTCCCTTCCTTGTTCTCACGCTGGTTTGGCGCTGCAGTCCCTTCCAGTATAGGCAATCTCACCTTGGCATTCCATATTTCTTTGTTGTGACCGAACCTGGCTCGACCCACACTGGTGCTTGGATTTGCCAGTGGATGACGTGGACAGATTCAGCCTGGAATTCCCCCAACCCCTGTCAATTGTATGCCAGTGTGTAACTCCATGACCTGTTCTGTGCTGTTTCCTATCATGTTTCTTGCGCTTACGTGCTGGGTCTGTGTCCTGCCAGAGGAGTTGCCCAGGCTCCTCCATCAGAACCTCTCCCAATGCCAGATTTCACGCTTACCAGTGGGTCTATAAGCCAACCCTACTCAGTTCACATCCTGTCATAGCAGGAACTGTGGCTTTTCCTGACTGGCCTTCAATCCAATCTGGTTCTTGCTGTTGGATGTTTCAGTCCAGCCATGGTTTGTCCATACCCACATATGGCTCACACATGGCTCAGTAGGACCTTGCCTAGTCCATCCCACATCTGCCCTGGTCCTCCAGGACACCAGGGGGTGTTGGGGTCTGGCCCGGTTCTGTGCATCCAATCCCAGTCCACACTTATGCCAAGGGAGATTACAACTGTATCCAGATCAGAATGCAGCCCCCATTCCAGGTCACACACCCCTTGGCAGGAACCTCAACCCAGCTAGGGTTGTCCCCTTAGCTCCCCAACCGGGCCTGTTCCCAGCCATAGATCACTCGCATGCTGGTGGTTTCTCTGACTCAGCTTGGCACAGCCCCTCCCCTGTCCCGACCTCTGCCTTAGACACTATGGCTTAGCGTCCCTGGCTCATGTGGACCAGTAGGTACAAGAGCCTAGCTTGGCATGACCTCTGCTCCCTCCTGGTTTCTAGTTTTGCTTGTGGGCTAAGGTTTGCTTGGTCCTGCCTGATCTACTCTGTTCCATTACCAGTTGATACATTAGCTAGCTGTTGGAACTACTTTTCCTAGGTTGTCCAACCCCCAGGTCTGGACCACATGTTCACCAGCGGGACCTATGACTCTCCAAGGGAGTTTCCCAAGTTCTTCCACTTAATCCACTCCCAGACCCAGTTCTCATAAATGCCATTGGGTTTAGGTCAGTCCCCGAACAGTCTGGCCTTCCATTTGGCCTTGTATGAGCTGGTGAATGTTGCAGCCCGTCCCACCCCACACCCTAATCAGGATGCACAATCGGGTGCTCCTGCCCTGACCAGTCCAGACTATTGGGAGTTCTTTTACCTGTGATTGATGGCAGGCTCCTGGGTCACACCTAGCTTAGTCCATCACCACCCCTACTCTTGAGATAACCAGTGGGGCTAGAATTTCCACAGGATGTGGCTCACACATCCCTCACAGAATTTACCCCTGGTTATGGTTTTTGAGTGCTAGTGAATGTAATGGCTTGCTTAATGTGACCCTTCTCCTGATCCAGCAAGCCATAGCTTCTGCATGGACTGGTATTTGGTGGTCAGCATTGTTCAGTGATTACAAGTTTTACAAAGGAAGAATTACTGCCAGTGGGAATCTTTACGAATGCCTCAGGTCCTAGAAGCAAAATGGGTTCAACCTGGAGCTAATTAAGCAGCAACTCAAAGAACCAAATCCCTAGAGCTCCCCAGCCGGGCAGCCAGCAGGCAGAGCCTGGCACCTAATGGCGCACTGGCCGCCCTGGGGACAGCTCACCACGTGCACATGGCGGCTGTAGTCTGGGATTTATTTAAATATCCAGGCCCAAGGTCGCGCCCCTCCCAAATCCCATTCACTGCCCAATGAAGGCGATGGGTGGGTCCCGGACCTGCCCAGTCACAGAGACCTCCCCCCTCGGTGTACTCACCTTGAAGGGAGCAGCCCCTGGAGCCCAGGCAGTCCCGGGGACAGCCCACCACATGCACATGGCGGCTGTCATCTGGGATCCAGGCATGAGACGCCCCGTCCTGAGACCCACCCGTAATTAACTTTTTATACTTATAAAATTTAGTAACATTTGAAAAGATTTTCATTGTTTCCTGTGAATTTTTCAAGGTCACGCGCATAATTTTTCATGAGATGGTATTATAAAATCAAATTTTAAAATGATAGATAAGCACAATGATGCTGATTAAGCACTTCTTTTTTTTTTAAGATTTATTTATTTATTTATTTTTATTGCAAAGTCAGATATACACAGAGGGGGAGAGACAGAGAGGAAGATCTTCTGTCCAATGATTCACTCTGTAAGTGACCACAACGGCCAGTACTGTGCCAATCCGAAGCCAGGAACCCGGAACCTCCTCTGGGTCCCACACGGGTGCAGGGTCCCAAGGCTCTGGGCCGTCCTGGACTGCTTTCCCAGGCCACAAGCAGGGAGCTGGAAGGGAAGTGGGGATGCTGGGATAGAACCGGCACCCAATATGGGATCCTGGCGCGTTCAAGGCGAGGACTTTAGCTGCTAGGCCATGCCGCGGGGCCCTGATTAAGTACTTCTTACACTCATGCAACTGAATGTCATAACAAAACTTTTTCTTCTCTTAAGTCGTTCCTGACAGTATCTCCCCAAATTTTTATTTCATAATTTTGCTTCTAGTCATTTCACTTACACAAGGCAGAACAGCTTTTGTCAAGTGTCTCACAAAGTTGTACAAGATATTTTGAAAGTTGGCATCTTTTCAGCATTTTAGAATGATGCTTTGCATCTGTCTGCGCTATTGACTCATATAAAATACTTTAACCCCCTCTCCCACATTATTCTTTAAATCAATGAAGACCCATGATTTGAGGTATTAAAACCAAAGTCTCTCAGTCACAAAATGTAATTTTTTACATTATTTACTTATTTACTTTTTTACTTTTACTTATTTACTTTTTAGAAATGTTTTAACCCAGTTATCCTTTGCATATGCTGTCATTTTAAGTCATTGCTTCAGTGTTTTAGTTCCACATTTTATTTCTGCTAATGTACAAAAGCTGGAGCATTTTTCATTTATTATTTCATTTATTATTTATGTCCTGTATTATTTGCTCTATCAAGTAGACATTAGGTTGTTTTTCCTGATTGAATATGATGTACTTAAAAACATTTTTTAACTTTTCATCTTTATAATTTGATTTATATCTTCTTATTTGTTCATAGGATAATTCTAACTTATACATGGTTATGGAATATGTTCCTGGAGGTGAAATGTTTTCACATCTAAGAAGAATTGGAAGGTTCAGGTAACTAATGCCTTCTCCCTGTTCAAATCTTCATATGTCTGTGTCTTTTTATAAATTAATTTCAATATCAAAGCCTGCTTTCATTAATTAGCTCATATTTTAACTATATGGAACATTACTAAGAGGAAACATCATATGTGCATTTTTTTAAGATTTAAAAAATTTTTATTGTTAAGTCAGATATACACAGAGGAGGGGAGACGGGAAGATCTTCCATTCATTGATCCACATCCCAAGTGGCCACAGTGGCCAGAGCTGAGCCGATCCGAAGCGTGAAGCCCACACTTTCTTCCAGGTCTCCCATGCAGGTGCAGGGTCCCAAGGCTTTGGGCCATCTTCAACTGCTTTCCCAGGCCACAAGCAGGGAGCTAGATGAGAAGTGGGGCTGCCGGGATAAGAACTAGCACCCATATAGGGTCCTGGTGCATGCAAGGTGAGGACTTTAGCTGCTGGGCTACATGAGTTTTAATATTCAAATAAAGGCCAGTGCAATGGCATAGCAAGCCTCTACCCTGACGTGCTGACATTGTGCACACTTGAGTCCCAACTAATTCACTTCCCATCAAGCTCCCTACAAATGGCCAAGGAATGCAGTGGAAAATGTCCCAAGTTCTTGGGCCTTTACACTGATGTGAAATATCTGGAAGAATCTGCTGGCTCCTAGCTTTGAATTGGCTCAGCCTCAGCTATTTGGGTCATTTGGACAGTGAACCAGCAAATGGAATATCTATCTTTGTCTCTTCTTCTCCCTCTGTAAATGCCTTTCAAATAAAAATAAATCTTCTTTAAAGAGTTTCAAATAAAAGCACTATGAAACCAAGTTAAATATTCTGCCATTAGTAAGCATTGTAATGATTCATTATTTGAAAAGTTTCAAGAAATGTAAAAATTAATTGAATTTTAAAATATTAATGTTCTTTGGTATTGTTCTTGAAAAATATTAGTGATGCAATTTCTGAGTCAGGTTTGAAAGAATGAAGAAGAGATATAATTGATCGTAGCAGTAATCAGGGTATTGTGATGATGGAAGATTTCAGAAATATAATTCCTAAAGTTATTATGTTTTTTAAGTGTATAAAAATTTAATATTTTACTTTATGATTAATTTACTAGTAGTATTATCTCACATTAATTAGACTAGCTTATGATTTTGATGATTTTTACCAGTATTTGACAGCTTATAAGCTAATACTGTTCATTAATTCTTCCTATTATAATTCAGCTGAACGCAAGACAAGGTTCAGCTTCATTCAGTGTAATATAAAGTAGCATAATGAAATAGTAAGTGTGAGCTCAAACAGGACTGATGATGGCCATTCACTTTACAGAAAGATGATAGAGGACTTGAATTGTCACAAGATAATATTAAGTACTAGGGAAAATATTATAATTTTCCATGTTAGATGAACTAAAGTTGAATTCATTTATTGACCTAATATGAACAGGGCAGCTAATATGTGTTAAGTCACCATGACAATGCATAGTAGCTTTTGTTTATCTTTGATCATTTTGTTTCATCTGCTCACGCATTTTCTCTCCTATCACCAGTACTCCAAGCAGATCCAGAATCCTCTTATTGCATTAGAATTATTCAGTGTTTTACAAAAAACACCACACCTTAATTAGTGGTCAAAGTTTTCTGCCCATTTTCTGCAATTACTAATGTCCACACTTTGATTTTATAATAATGGGTTACTACAAGAAAAGCAAATTAATTGAAAATGTCATACTGAAACAGTGAGGCAGCAAGAATATTAGCTATTCTTTAGCACAAAAAAAGGAATCATGATTATCTCTTACTTAAACAGACCTAAAGATCCTATAGAATTAAGCCTTACTGTTGTCCTCCCACATTTCCTTAAATATTAAATAGAACTGTCTAATGATAAGCTGTGTTTGAAATATTTTGCTTTTATTTTCAACAATTTGATGATAGATCTATGTAATGTCTGTAGTCCTAAAGATATTAGTATGTAAAGAAGTAATTAAAATTATAAAGATATTAGTAATTAAAAGTACAAAGATATTAGTATGTATAAAGAAGTAATTAAAAGATATGTGGGAAAAATAGGAGGTTTCCCCATAGCAAATGTTTTCAAGTTGAATGTTTCTTTGACTGGGATGATTTTCTCTACCTCTTTTTAGTGTTCCTCCTCATTCTTTGACATTTGATATGCAAAGCAGATTGTTTAAAGCATTGAGATGGGATGAAATTGGAAGAGTATTAAAAAAATATTGCATCTCAAAGTATTTTACTTTACCTATTCATTCAATAAATATTTACTAATGTAAATTGGGTTACACTCTGGGAATTGAGATGATAAATAACAGGAGCAAATGTATTCTCCTATAATCTTTTAAAAAAATGTATTTCGGGGGCCCGGCGCGGTGGCGCAAGTGGTTAAAGGTCCTCACCTTGCACGCCCGGGATCCCATATGGGCGCCGGTTCTAATCCCGGCAGCCCCGCTTCCCTTCCAGCTCCCTGCCTGTGGCCTGGGAAAGCAGTCGAGGACAGCCCAAAGCTTTGGGAACCTGCACCCGCATGGGAGACCCGGAAGAGGCTCCTGGCTTCGGATCGGCATAGTATCGGCCCGTTGCGCTCACTTGGGGAGTGAATCATCGGACGGAAGATCTTCCTCTCTGTCTCTCCTCTCTGTATATCCGCCTTTCCAATGAAAAAATAATAAAAATAAATCTTTAAAAAAAAAAAATGTATTTCGGTATTACTAGAACAAACTCATGGCCATATCTTGAAGGAAATTTACTCCATAATTATAATTGTTCATAGTTGATAAAAATCTGAAAATTATTGTTATTTATCTGACAGATTAGTAGAATTTAGTATAAACACTGGAAAATTAATTAGTAACCCAAAATTATAAAATTGGTATATCCTTTTACAGTAATATGTGATATTGGAATTTTTTGATATATTGAAGTAATATTTACATGCAAGAACTGGACTTTTTACACAAATCTACAGATTATACCTACATCTTGTCTAAATAGACATGCGTAGTTGAAGATTTGGAAATCTGCATGCCAAAATTGTATCTGTAACTTCTGGGTTGGAGTTTAGATGTTTATTCTTCACCAGTATATTATGAACTTTTCTATATCAGAAATGATTGTTATAACAGTAAATACTAGAAAAATTAGCAAAGTAAAATCAATCCACACATCAATTCAGTTAAAGATATTCCATATAAAAAAATTCTTTGAGCACTTTAAACTTCTGAGTAATATAGAGCCTGCATTAGTCAAGTTTTAATTATTTTAACAAATGCCAGAAAGGAACTACTTCATGAATTATTTCATGCAGTTTTGGAAATTCACAGTCCAAGATCAGGTGGCCACATAAGCCCGGCGTCTGATTAGGGCAATGCATGTTGAAATGTGTGCAGATGGAGAATGTCATGATGAGCTAGGAAACAGAGCTGACCTGGACTTGGCATAAATAACTCTCTTGGGAGAACTGCTTTCACAAGACACACCCCTGCTGCCTTGAAGACTTCTCATCTGGATGACATTCCAGACACCTTAATTGTGTCATGCCTCCACCTTTTATTCTGTCAACAACCAACATTAATCCATTAACTGCTAACATAAGATTTAGAATTTTAAAAGTCTGTATGAACTGGGGAAGCCAAATCCTGTTCAAACCATAGCAGAGCCTATTAACTGTAGCAATAACTGGTAGAAAGTCTACTGGGCACATTTGCTTTTCAGCCATTCCCTAGATCAGCATAATTATAAAGACATTGAGATATTCTAATACAAGCAGCAATAAATAACACTAGGGTTATTTTAGGGTTTTGGTTTTTTTCAACATGTGCTATCCCCTAAATAAAGCATCAATTGAAGACAGTTTAGAGATGCACTAAAAATTTAGATACTAAAAATATTTTTTAGAAGAAAAATACTTTTAACTCCTGAAATGGCATTTTTAAGTTAATGTTTAAGATTAATCTACTGACATACTTGTTAATCATTTTACATGGAATTAATGTTTTCTTTCTTCTCAGTGAACCCCATGCACGGTTCTATGCAGCGCAGATAGTGCTAACATTCGAGTACCTCCATTCACTAGACCTCATCTACAGAGATCTAAAACCAGAAAATCTCTTAATTGACCATCAAGGTTATATCCAGGTATGGCTTGAAAGTGTTATACATGACACATTTGCAAAAATAATAGATAAGACTATTGTATGTTTAACTTAAGCTATCAATATTAGATTTTTCTTTCTGAAAGAATCAATTATTTCTTCCTAATATCTTTAAGTTGAGTTCATCCTTCTGCCACTTAAACAGAGAAGTAGGAAAACACTATCTTGGATGGAACCTGTTTCATAATCTGTATGTGTGAACTGGAATGTGTGAGCATTCATTGAAGTCAGGCATTTGTCAAATGTTTTACATATACAAGTTGAGAATCCATGATCTGAAAGTCTGAAATACAAAATACTCCCAATCCAAACCTTTTTGACCACTGACATGATATCATAAGTAGAAATTTCCACAGATGACCTCACATGAAAGGGAGACTGCAAACACAGAAGTACTAAATATATTGTATAAAGTTACCTTTGAGCTACTTGTATAAGATATATAAATAAAACATAATTGAATGTCATGTTTTAAGTATTTCTTACCCTCCAAATATTCCAAACAGGAAAAACCTGAATTCTCAAACATTTTGGAAAAGGGCAATCAAATTTTATTTGGTCCTGTAATCCTGATAACCGTATGAGGTGACAGTGCTGTTGTTATCCTCATTTTAAGGCTAACAAAACTAAGGCATAGCAAGTTTGCACAGCCTATAGCTGGGAGTATCAGAGTTTTAATTGGGGCAGGTCTGATTCCATAGTCCTATCTTTACCTCTCTAATACCAGTGCCACTGGAACCCTGACTACCTTTGCTGTACTGGGAACAACACTTTGTTGCGTTTTCACCATCAGAGATTGGGAGCATACCATTTTGCATAATTATCAGTAGATCTCCCATTGATGCTTTTGTACTTTTGATGGTACAGTTAATGGCAGAGGGCATTTTTAACATAATGAGCACTTTTATCATTGTTTAATTTTTATGGAAACTATTTTTTTGCATTCTATTTTCAGTTTTTGTTTCTTGAATCTGAGCCCTTAAGAAAATGATTGAAAAAAGTTTTACGATGGCTGTCAGTTATTTCTTTGTTTTGAGTGGGGGCAAGATTTTCCAATTTGGATGGTTTTAACCTTGATTCATTAAATACTGATTCATGTAAATTAGTCTCTGTAACATAAACTCTTTTTTTGTATTTTTCATAACTTTCATTTTAACCCTGAATTTTAAAATTTCAATTTAGATAAATTCTTACAAAGTTTTGTTTTTTTTCCTCTTAAAGGTCACAGACTTTGGGTTTGCCAAAAGAGTTAAAGGCAGAACTTGGACATTGTGTGGCACCCCCGAGTATTTGGCTCCAGAAATAATCCTGAGCAAGGTATGTTTATAATCTCAATATATATAAAAAGTAGAAATGTAAGCATGCATCCCCTGTATACTTTTGTAAAAATTAGTTTTCTTGATCAAATTTTACATTTTTATTTATTCTATATTATAAATTTTTAAACTATCCATGCATGATAACTAAGAAACAATTAGACTTTACCACTAACTCCCTGACATCTTCAAATTTTAACTTTGGGTTGAGAAACTGCGTGAATAAATCTGGCCTATATACTCATGTTTTGAAGCAAAGAATACCATCTTCATAATCATCCTCTTCTAATGATTGAGTGGAAAAACTTATTAATCTCTCCTCGGGATGAATCTATGAGTGTGTGGGTCCAATGCCAAGCTGCTCCCCTGACTCTAGCTTCCCGCTAATGTGGACCTTGGGAAAGGCTCTAGTGGCTGAGTTTCTGATATCACCATAGGAGACCTGAACTGAGTTCCTAGCTTCCGGCTTTGGCCCCAGAGGTGACCACTGCACGCATTTGGAGAGTATACCACTAGATGGAATCTTTCTCTCCCCAACCCCATCTCTGTCTCTCTTCCTCTCCTCCATCGTTTGTTCTCCCTCTCTATCCCTGCCTTTCAAAAAAAAATGAATTGATTTTGGGGAAAAAAGAAACATATTTAGCAAGATATATGCTCACTGTCAATCCTTGTTTCCAATATACAGCTTTAGTTTAAAAGGAATATTAAAGCAATTGCATTGTTTTAGTCTTACTGAATGCAATCCTAGTTTTCTCAGCAATGAAGTGTGAGAGGAGTTGTAAACTTATCTTTGAAAAAATGCCTTAACTTCTTGTTCTCTTTCTTCTACCATTCTTCAACAGAGAAAAGTAAAAAGAAGAAACATAGCAAAAACTGAGACATAAATAGGGACAGGAAAGGGAAAGCAGTTGGGCAAATGCCTGAGTATGACCTACACTAAATAACTGAAGTTGGATTAATTTTTATGTATATTAGAATATAATGAAGGATTTTGTATAGCTTTCCTCTTACTATCATTTATAATTTAAATCCCTTATAACTGGCTAGCACTTTACAATCCAATATAATTGCTGTTAACACATTGCTTCTTATTTAAATACATTTAACAAATAATGTGACTGAAATATAATAAGCACCACAATGTTTAAATGTGTATATATTATAAAAGTGATAGATATCCATTGTACAAAATTTGGAAAATACAGAAAAAAATGTAAAGAAACAACCCAAAAACCTGAAATCCTGCCAGTCAATCTTTTTTTTTAACATTATGATATAGTTTCCTGTGCATGTTATCATAGTTGGGGTCATAGAGAATGCATAGTTTTGTGTGTGACTTTTTTCAGTTGCATGAGAGCAAGCATGCAAACATTCTATTGGCTTGTTTGCAAATGAATCATAAAGTATGTAGTCATTCTTTTATTGCTGAATAATCAAGTTTTCTTTTTATTTTATTGTTGCTGTTTTAGTTTTTTTGAGTTTTTTCATTTTTTAAATTTTTTGCTATTATAAATAACTGTGATAAACATCTTTGTGCATAAAGCTTTTTCTGTATTTCACATTATTTCCTTAGGATAGATTCCCTGAAGTGGAATTACTGGGTCAAAGGGTATGAACATTTTTAAGGCTCTTGATACATATTGATAATTGTTTCCCCCCCAAATTGTACTATTTACACTCCTACCAGTACTATATGAGAATGCCTATTTTATCACATTCTTTCTGTCACTGGTTATTCTCATTTTAAAATATTTACTAATGTATTGTTCAGTAAATGATATTCCCATTTGTTTTATTTCTCATGTCTGATTATTTGTGTTTCAAATGCTTAGTATCCATTTTATATTTCTTTGTGCATACATGTCAATTATTAGTTCATGTCTTTTGCTCATTTGTGTATTAAATGAAGCATTTTTTTCTTCTTGATTTGTTTCAATTCTTTATACCCAGGGTTTCATTGTTTCTTGCATATTTACTGTGAAGATTAGCACACAGTTTAGAACAGAAATGAAAGCAAAGATGATGCCCATTTTATTAACAAAAAACAAAAATAAGCACTACTCTTTTCATACCAAGTGCCTCCCTTGAAAAAAAATATACACACTCAGAAAAATAAGGAACAGAAAATCTCCATAAAATAATAAATTATTTTAGCGAATTAATTGAAAACTAAATAGTTTATAGAGGAAAAATTTTCACAATATGTTGAAATTCAAGGAGTGGATAATTAGGAAACAGAATGTCTGGGAAGAACTCCGATTGCTGCTCTTCAAGATCAGATGCTTGTTAGGATCTTTCCCAATAACCTTTCATAGCAGTTGACATTGATCATAGTTTATTTAGAAAACTATGTACATGCGTTAATATGTTATAATATGTTACATGTACATATTATAATAATTTTCTTATAAATATTCAAGATGTTAATTTTAATAAGCTTAATATTTTGCAAAAACCAGATAAGAATCTTTGAATTATGCATTTGCAAATTTACACTATTTATAAACATTATTCTCTTTCATTTGATATCGTACTCCAAAACCCTAAGTACTAAGGTTTTTTTCTTGCATTTTTTAAGATGAGAAACAAAAATAGTCGATAATAAAGTAATGAGTACTCAAATAATTGCTTCAATTGTATTGCATATGAACCATTTAGTTTTCACAAGATCCTGTGAAGTGAATGAAATTACCTCAATACATTCACCCTCCTGACTCCCAGAATATTTTTTAAATCTGCTCCGTACTTACTGAATTTCAATATCTGCCAGATTATTTTAAAACTTTTAACCAGTCGATGTGTTACAGGTAATCTAATTAATAAGATTATGAGCCTTAAGAGGTATTTAGATCAAATTCCCACCGTATGATTGAGCAATAACTGAATTATAACAATGAAATACTCTTAATTACTTTAGAAAGAACATTTGATAATCCTTCCTAATGTCCAATTTGTTTGTTTGGAAAATCTCTATTGAATTTAAATCTTACCTGCTAACATTTTGTTCATTTAAAAAGTTACATTCTGAATATCTACTTTGCAAATGCTTTACAAGCTTTTTTTTAACATGCTCCCACATAATTTTGAAGTTACCTATGACTTCCTTTTCTTTTGAGTAACTTGAAAAATAATTAATACTGGTGTTGGTTTATCTTAGGGCTACAATAAGGCAGTGGATTGGTGGGCATTAGGAGTGCTAATCTATGAAATGGCAGCTGGCTATCCGCCATTCTTTGCAGACCAGCCAATTCAGATTTATGAAAAGATTGTTTCTGGAAAAGTAAGTAATACATTTTATTATTCCTCTGTTATATCTCTGCGTATTTGTTATTAAGCTTTGTAGATTGAAACCATCTCGTATCATCATAATATTATCTTAAATTGCAAAATGGTATGAAAGCTTAGTGTTTGTTGTCCTATAGCTAGCATTTCTGTAATCTGATACAAAAAGTATCAAACCACTAAAGGTTTTAAGGAAAAAAACACACACACAGTTTTACAAGCAAGTTGACAAAACAGGCAATTTTTAGTCTTTTTTGAAAGCACAGGATCATTGAGCTAATTCGTAGTAGTTAAGTGAATATTGCTATTTCATGTGGATATTTCATTGGATAAAAGTTTCCTTGGAAAAAGTTTGCTTTTATATATCCTTGATTTTTAGGATGAAATTCTTGCTTGAATTATGTCAAGCTCAATAAAATTAGAATTAAATGTAAACTCTGTAAAAATTTTAGAGAAAAATTCATAAAATTATTTTTACCAGAATTGTTCATGTTGACTGTAATTCTGATTGCCGTGGATTTTTTTTATCAGATCTGGAAATAAAAACTAGTATTTCTTGCATTTAAAAATATTTATGTCATATTTTGTATTTTCAGGTTATTCCATAAAACTTTCCTTCTGTTGCATGTATAATCTCTAATTTTGCTCCTTAAGATATTTCATTTGCACTCAGTCATAGCCTCTTCCCTTAGCTCAGCCCTGAGCTTGCATTAAAAGCACTGTATCTCAGTCAGGGTCAGTACATGGTAGGAGTTTCCTACCAGGTAACAGAGAAAGTAGACTTTCAAACAGTACCAGAAGGAACCAATCTATTCATTAGTAATAGAGTAAAGAGAAAGAGGTGTTTGTCTATTTTCCTATTTTCCTGTATGTATGCAGTCAACAGGGTCACAAGATTTTCTCTTGTGTTTCACTGCATTTTATTATGTCATTATTTACAAACTAGGGGCTATCTAAAGAATTCATACTTCAAGTATGTCAAAGGCAAAAATAAATGCTGCTTACAAATAAAGAATGTAAATGAAATATATAAGGATTTATGCTGATGAAGCAATACAGTTGGGTGGAATGTAGTATATATTTTAAATAATTAAAGGTCATTACCATTTCTTATTATATATTTGAAATTCCAGGTTTCAGATTTCTTACATTTCTAATTGCTTTCCCCCAGCAGAATGTAAAAGATCATAGCAAAAGAACTTTTGATATGAACAAAATAGTAAGAAAAAAAGACAAAGCTGAGATTTATTATTGGAAATTTTGAGAAGTGATTATTTATATTTTTAGAGAACGAGAGCAAAAAGTCAAATGAGAGATTATGGGTAGACTAAAATATGCTAAATCAAAAGTTAGAGAAGAGTAATTCCAAGACTAATCAGCAGAAATTAGAGAAATAACTTTTAACATTTCATTAGAAATAGTTATAAAGTTCCTCAGTCTTTACTATATTGCTTTATACTTTGTCATGGAAGAAACCAGATTTTATGACAAGGATGTTATCAGAACTAATTTACATTTTTCTAGAAAAAAAATTCCTCGTTTAAAATTAATGCTGTCTGTATGAAACAGCCTCAGCTTCCTATTCACTCTATATTGGCTAATTTTTTTTCTTAGCTTTTTGATATATTTTCATGTAATATAAAATTTTGACATTCTGTGCCTAATAATCTTCCTATGTATTAAAGTGATAGTGGTTTAAATTCTAGTCTCTTTAGAAAATAACAGCATAAAATTTTGTCATAATCACAAAAAAGAATATTTCTTGTCTAAAAATGATACAGTACAATGTAAATATTACTGCATAAACTCATACTTTTAGATTCAGAAAAAACAGTTGTGAGTGGAAATTGTTTTCTAAAATGGTATATAATTAAAATCGTTGAAAATCAATTGAAAAAAATTGAAAATCAAATTAAAGTCATTGAAAATATTTGAATGCAAAAGTAGAATCTACAAACATAAGGTCAAAGTTAGATTTTTAATAATTTGAGCTGTTAGGAAATATTAAAAACTAATTAGTTTTGGATTTGGCTTTAGCTACTAAGCAGAGAGATAATGCTGCTTTCACAGTGTGGGTAGAGATACATTCTAGTCTGGATTTTTGTGTTGAAATACATAGTTTTATTGAAAAATAATGCATAAGAATTATATTTCACATAGTACAGATTCCTCTCTAGGAATTACTCTCTAGGAATACCTCTAAGTTAATGACAATACTCCACTTATGTGAATTCTGTTGTAGATGAGTAAACGAAGCAAATGATTGAATTAACTTTATGTTCAATAGGAGGGGAGATAACCCGGTACTTTCAGTTAAAAATTTTAGGTACCAGTGACTTATCAAAGATTTTAGGTACCAGTGACTTATCAAAATTAAAAGTTATTAAGTGAGCAATTTATAAAATACTGAATGCTTTATCAAATATATTTGAGCATGATGTTTTAAAGTATTTCCTCATTAACAGCATTCTAGTTCAGGCTGGTATTTTTAAATACACAGAAAGATGATCAATCAGCTTGTTAGATTCTCTCCTACACATATTTTGCCTTTCAAAAACAGAGGAGGTGGTATTTAAATGTCAAATTATTCATGCAATACTAAGGTTTAGAAAGGCATAGTTGACATAAAAGACTTGTAGTTCCTACATTAGCATTAATTCATTAATTAATGAATGAATTAATTCCTAATGTGTCTCATATGCTGAGTTTCTCTCAATAGTCTCTAAATTTCATTCCTCAGTGCATATTTTCTGTGATAACTATCACAGAACAACTCTGTGTTACCCATAGAAATATACAAGTAGATGTTGTGGTTAACTTTAATTTTTTAAAGTAGGGAGTGTTGTGGAAAACTTCATTTTAGAGTTCTTGACCTAATTTGAAAAATTTGTAGCTTCATTACATATAAGCGAATATTATGCTATTATGCCATTTTTAACAAGCACTAACATTGCAAAGGAGATGCCATCTTTAAAAAAAAACACACAGAGAGAGGTGAATGTAATGTAAGCCTGTACTGAATGACCAAAGAGAGTCTGTTAATTTTTCCTGAATGAAAAATTCTGGATTTTCCTGGTTGGTAGCTAAATTGTTACCAATTCTTTCTTTGTCATGGGCCGCCGAGGCCATCTTCAGGTTTTTACACAGGGAGGACTCACTAACTTAGCATATACTGGTAGTCATGGTTAAGATGTATTACAGTTTAAGGATACAAAGCAAAGGGGAATGACAATTAAGACAAAGAAAATAGGGAAACATTTCAAAAGTTCTGTTCCAGAAGACCCACAAAGGATGTGTGTAATTTTTGAGCAACACACTGTGACAACACATATGAAATATTATAGACTAGTAAAACTCGTTAGAGACCCAGTGCCCAAAGTCTTCATTGAAAATTGGTCACGTGTGCACCTTCTGCCTAGAGCAGGCTGCCAAGTGAGAGCAGATGTTCAGCATAAGCAATATTGTTTGTACAATCAAAGTACAGTAATCCATTGTGATCATTGAGGGCAAATTTCATTTCAGTGTAAGGAACTGATCAAGGGCCAGACTGACAGTCCTTTCTATGACTGGCAATTCCACACCTGTTGTGTTAATTCTTTTCTGCATACTTTTTGTTTCCTAGATACTAAATACATATTGAGATTAAAAAAAAAAACTATACTTCCCGTAAGACACCATGGTTAACACTTTTGGGAAAATTAAGACATCATTTTCTATTTGGCCATAGCTATATATAGGTAAAAAGATTTAGAAGTTCTCATAAGTAATTTCAGAAAACTCAAAAGCAGTTATACTGTTTGCATTGAAATCCAGGGCCATTGTTTTAAACACTTTGTTTTAAGACATCTCTTTACTCTGTTGGCTATTTGACAAAATGATTATATCACTGGCTCCTTACATTCGAAAGGAAGGGCGAGGGGAAGTGAAGAGTAACAGCCACCTGCACCCATCCAGGTTATTTATCCACCACTGCTCCCTTGAAGGGGAGAGAACAGATTGCTGAGCCCACAGAGACAGCACCAATAGTTATAAAAACGTTTAAGGTCCCATTTGTTTCTTCCTATATATATAAAATCCAGGCCAAGTAATTTTTCTCTAAGGCCCTATGAGGCAGTATTGAGATTGACAAATAGCTATAGAAAGTCTAGTATATAAAAAACTATCATGCCTTTTGAAAAACTGTGTAATGTAAATGTCTATCTTTGCTAGATAAAATTTTCAATGGGATTATGGCTTTTTTTTAGAACTTATTTTAAAGATTTTTAGTTATTTGGAGGCAGAGAGAAAGAAAGAGACATTTGACAGAGTGTGATCCCTTCTGCAAGTTTACTCCCAAAATACCTGTAATGGCCTCCTCTGGGTTACAGCTAAGTTGAGACTTGCAGGTCTACTTGAGGGACAGGCACCCAGTTACTTGAACTAGCACTGCTGCCTCCCCAGCGTTGGTAGGAAGCTGGTTAAGCACAGGGACTCCAGTGTCGGCCACAGACATCTGACTGCTAGATTAAACACCCACTCCCAAGAAACAGTGTCTAAAACGTATTCCAACATGCTTATGGCCATAAGTTAATGGATTTTTGCTTATTTTCTGTGACAAACACTTTGAGTCATTTTTGATTTATAAATCGTATCCTAGTGCATAAGAGACAATGTTGTTAGTTATACTTATCCTGATGATAATTACAGAATAGCAGTAAGATTTTTCCCTTCTTTTAGTCAGACATTAACCCTGTAATTTATTTGATTAAGGTAAATTTAGACAAATTTGATTTGGTCTCATTTTGTTTCTAAAAAAAAAATCAGCCAGCTAGTAAATTTATCCACTGTGATGATCATAAGAATATGAACTGACTTGCTTTTTTTGTATAGCTTCCTCTTAAATTTTTAGAAAGTAGTCATTCCACAATCTGAAAGGAACAAGATCTTATAATTGGTGCTGAAAGCAGAACAAATAATCTGTTGAGTTGGCTCAATTTAGAGTGAGTTGCGTTGTTTGTTTAACACATTACATAATATATTTTGATGAAGTGGTTTCACATATCAGCTATATTCACAATGCTGTTCTTATGAAACAAAATGATAAGTCATACAATTTCCCCTTGACTGTGAGAATGAGGATTAAGAAAAGATGAAAACAGAGGCCAGAGATGTAGCATGTGGATTATGCTGCTATCTGCATCACCAGTATCACATAAAAGTACCAGTTCAAGTCCTGGCTGCCCAGGTTCCAAACCAGGTTCCTGCTAGGTCTGGGAAAAACAGCATAAGATTATTTAGGCCCCTACTACTCACATGCAAGACTCCAAATAAGTTCCTAGCTCCTGGGTTCAACCTGGCCCAAGTCCTAGCTGTTGTATCCACCTGAAGAGCCAACAGCAAATGAAAAATCTCTTTCTTTCTCTGTAACCCTGCCTTTCAAATAAATAAATCTTAAAAAAAAAAAAAAAGATATTAGAGCCCAGCACAGTAGCCTAGTGACTGAAGTCCTTTCCTTGTATGCACCAGGTTCCTGTATGGGTGGAGGTTCATATCCCGACAGCACCACTTTCCATCCAGCTCCTTGCTTGTTGCCTGGGAAAGCAGTCAAGGAGCTGGATGGGAAGAGGAGCAACCAGGACACAAACCAGCACCCACATGGGATCCTGGCAATTGGCAAGGCGAGGATTTAGCTACTTGACCAGCATGCTGGACCCTCCTAGGACTTCTAAAACAGACTGTAGGAATTCTGGAACACAATGATAGATATAGACTTACTCTGTCCCGAGTTCATTCTTTGATTCAGGAATCCAGCTTCAGATAACTTAAAAGGTATTAAAATAGGAATATTTAAAAATGAAAAATGCATTGAATTAGAGTATACGAGATATTGAGCATAGTCAAAAACAGTATCCTAAATGTAATATAATTTTTTCACATCTGCCAGATTAAATATACTATCATAATTTTGTAGACTAGGAAACTGGGGGAGGTGAAAGGGTTTGCCCTATAGCACAGCATATTTATGTAACTGGAATTTGGATTAACAGCGAGAATTTTTTCAACTGAAGAAATACTTGGAGATGACAGTACTGTGGTACCATGATTTAACCTGCAGTTTGTGATAATAGCATTCAGTATCATAGTGGTGCCACTTGGAATCCAGCCATCCCCACACATACTGACTGCTTCTCACTCATTTTTTGCTGCTGTGACTGGGAAGGCAGGAGCAGATGGGCCCAACTACTTGGGCCATTATTCCTATGTGGGAGACCCAAATGGGATTTCAGGCTCCTAAATTTAGCCTGACTAAGCCCCAGAACATTTGAGACATGAACAGTGGATGGAAGATTAATTCTCTCTCTCTGTTTCTTTCTCTCTCTCCTTATATCCTTCTCTTCCTGTCTGCTATTCTGCTTTTCAAATAAAATGAATCTTAAAAAAGAAATTGGTGGAATTTTCTAGGTGGCAAGAATGTTTTATCTAACTCCTTCATTGTATATGTAATTAAATCACAGAATTGTCCAAAGGCAAGGAGTAGTTTATGACAAAGCAGGAAATAGGATTAAGTTCCGTTTCTTCATTTATTATTTCTTCCCTTGCTTCAGTGACTCTTCACAATCTTGGTTTTATTCCTCCATGGCTGATCTTCCCTTCTGTTTACTGTTTTTTATACTTCCTCCATGGCTGACTCTTCCAAACTCATGACCTTGAATGTCAACTGACTATTCCCAAGTTCATTTTTCTAGTTCATATCTGTTTACTGAATTACACACTCTTATATACAGTTTCATACTCAAGATCTCCACTCCAATGTCTCATAAATATCTCAAAGTTACCTGAAAAACAGGCAATTGCCTTTGTCCCCCCCAAAAAAATCTGTCCCTTTTACAACCTTCCCTATCCAGTTAATGGTAACTCCTTCCTTTCAATTGATCAGACCAAAACAACTGAGATTTCTCCTCCCATAGCTGAGATTTCTGCTCCCATAAAGAAATATTTGTGGCTCTGTCTTTAGAATGAATACAAATTCAATGGTTCTTACCACCACTGCCACCTCACTCAGTAGTCTTCAGTCAGATCCATTTAGTCCCTTCAAAACCTTCAGTGATTCCCAGTTTTCTTCAGATTAATACTTGAAGATATTACAGTGCTGTATTTTCTGAGAAAAAAATAAGATGACTTCTCAAATAATTTCTCCAGTTGCTAAGTTATGTTTTATCATCTGTCTTCTTTGCTATAATGTAAATCCAACAAGAGTAGGAATCCTTGTCTTGTTTTGTTTATTATGCTTAGCACATGTATGTGTACAGTCAATATCTGTACGATTGGAATTCATGCTTTTAAAAAAAAAAGTTGTTAAGAACACAGTATATGCCAGAGTTCTACATGAGAGATACTGCAGTTCAGTTGGGGTGTGTATCTTCATAAAGCTTTCAGGAAGTAGACTCCATTTTGGTGTCCCACTCTAGAGATACTGGTTCATTTTGTTTTCTGTGGATGCCAAACACCTGTGTTTTTCCTAATGACAGTAAGAAATTCTGATTCAAACCACATGTTAGGAGAGTGTTCTCAGTGAGGATGTGTACCATGAGAAATCTCAGGAGTTTTGTGGCCTCTAACTTTTGGGGGCAGGGAGGGGCGGGGAGAATTACAACAAAGAAATAATATTAAGAAGAAAACACCACTCAAAAATGTATATGTTGCCTGTGTACCTATTTCATATTGTACAGACACCGGTTCCATGTTCCAAATTTCCAAGAATCTTCTGACTCATAGTTAATGGCTCAATGAGTTTAGACTTCCCTGTTTCTTTAACTGATATAATATAACTGCCTCAACATTGTGTCCTATTCTGGGCTGGCAAAAAGCTCATACTTATGAAAGTGAGAAGAATTAAGTTATTTTTCCCAATGATTTCACTGACTTAATTGGTTGTCTCACGAGAATTCAATTTTTTTTTAATATGAAACCTTAGACTCAATTAATTTCTCTCTGGTACCAATGTCCAAAATCCTGATATCACTTTCAATAGTAGATGTGATTGGTAATAATAGTACTCCTCTTGATATAGTCTGAAGAAAAAATGAGCCACTCTTCCCATCATAGAAGTCATTGGTTTCTCCAGGCTTGATATGCTAAATATAAAGGCTTTGCATGCAAGATATAATTTCTCCTCCAATATACTTTGAGAATGTGACTGATTCATTAACATGAGCCTCTGTGAGCACATAGGTTACCTATTATATCTCTTTGCAAGAAATGGATGTGATACAGAGATGTGGAGGCTATGTGTATAATCTTGAATGGTTCCCATAAAATTCTGATATCTGCCATCCCAACCTACCCCCACTCCTCGTTTGGAAATTGTATCACAAAGATTAAACAGACACATACATACACACTACCCCATAATAACTAATTCAAGACCATCACTTTATTTGCATTCCAAATTAAACAATAATAATAATAAGTGAAAAATAGTGCCCTGTGCTTTGAAAGACAGTGTGTCTGGACTTATAAATACATTTTCCAACTTCCTTTGTGGTATATCTCTTTTCAGAATGTACACACTGATTTCTTTCACATGTGTTTGTCTTGTTTGGGTAAAAACAAGTTCCAGTTTGTATATCTTTGAGACAAGGGCTCTCTTTTGAATATCAGTGAACATAATGGTGTTATTGGAAAAGTTATGTTTATGTGCATATTTTCCCACAGACTGCCCAATGTTCTTAAAGGGAGTTTATAACTAAAAGGTTTAGTTCATTCATACAAATAATTATTTTCTCTAAGACTAGTATGGGGACAGCAACTTAAATACATTTAAAGATCATCAGTAGGCATTTTGTTCATATAATGCCTGTGTCTTAAAAAACATGAAACCAGAATAGAGATATCACAAATTTGGGGATATGTGTCTTACCATTTGTTGTGTTTGTACAGGTTCGATTCCCATCCCACTTCAGTTCAGATCTCAAGGATCTTCTAAGGAACCTACTGCAAGTAGATTTGACAAAGCGATTTGGAAATCTAAAGAATGGTGTGAGTGATATAAAAACTCACAAGTGGTTTGCTACAACAGATTGGATTGCTATTTACCAGAGGAAGGTGAGACTTTCTAAAAGTTGATGTTTAACTTATATGCAGTAAAGATATTTTCAGTTTAATACGTTAAAGGGAGAAAATGTTAATGTTCTAGTTAAGCGTTTTTGTATATTTATAAATAATACTGTTGTGAAAGATTGTAAAACCAAAGCAATAAGAGTTTTAAGTGCAACAACCAGTAAATATAACAAAACCTGAATAACGTGAGTACAGTAAAGCCTCTATTTCTTACAGAAGCGAATCACTCTCCAACTGTTCATGAAACAAAGCATTGTTACTGTAAATGGATGTACTGTGTAGTCAAGAACAAGGGTCACAGTAACTTAAAATAGACTTCACCTGCCATTAAAAACTTATTTTCCCAGATTTGTTAGAAGCAATGTAGTACCTTACAAACATCTCATTTTAATCCTTTAGGTAATTTTTTTAGATAAGTGGTATGATTTAACTCATTTTACTAATCAGAAAATCAATTCAGGTTACTGAACTTAAACATAACCTTGGAACTATGGAGTGAGGCCTGTATTTCATCCTATGTTCTTCAGGGTCCTATTCCCAGGACCATGTTTCCAATGTACAGTCTTTTTAATATGGTCAATAAAATGAAGTCCCAAGCCACTGCACAATATAGTCTTTCATAAAATTTTTAGGTCATCTGCTTAACTTTCATGGAGAGAGCATTGGGAAAAAGAAGACTCTGCCTCAAAAAAAATGAACATAAACTCCAAGGCTCAGTCCCAGATCAACTAAGCATTTGTAATATGATCTTGAACAAATAATTGAACTTCTCTAAGCATCTATTCAGTCATCCTTAAATGGATGAATAGTTTAAGGAAAAAGGTTACACAGATTATCAAGGTTCCCTTTGATTTCTGGTTGATATGTTTTATTGTAGGTAAAGTTGGATACTTTAAAAAGAGCCAAATCTTGATTAACAAAACAGATGCAAGGAACCCTAGATAATTTATAAATAGAAATAATTTATTACTTTAATTTCATTATTTGTTTTGATATTTTCTTAGATACAACTATGCTTAGCACTGCAAAAAATAGATTTGAACCATTTTCATGATTATTCTCTGACGCAGTGTTCATGAACATGAAACAGCCAAGTGACTCCAACAGAAAAAAAATGTTATTTTTAAAAAGGAGTGAGGGGGGAAAAGGACATGAATGACTCAAACTGTGTATAATCATTCTTTAGAGATGGTCACCCCATAAGATCAATCCCAAATGGTTGTAATGGCTAAATACGAGGCAACTATATGCTTAGTTTATTCTTCTAGAACAAAACAGTCCTGAAAGCACATAAAAATGTTTGAATTTCCATTCCAATTCATTTTTCACCTTAAAATGTCCTTGTTTTTATGTTTATCTTATGTTAATATAATCATTCATGTAAATAGTATGTAAATAAATAACTTCAAATATTGCTAATGTATATAACTAGGAACCATTTTATTGAAATGGTTACAGAAAGAGATGCAAATCAGAAATATTTGGGGACCACTGGTATAGATAGCACTCTATGCCAGAAGTGGAAAGTCATGAGTTTGAGACTTGCATTAGCCGCCCCCCAGTCGTGTGATTTTAGCCAACTGTGTAACACTATTTTATGATTTTACAATCAAAGAAGAAGTAAAATGCCTACTCTGCCTTCCTCTATTGTGGTACTGAGAAAGAAATGAGAAAAAAAAATGTGTGATTGTAAATTCTGTGAGTATTGTGTAAACTATGACATTATTTTTGCAGCTTTTAAAATATTTTCCTTGGATATATTCAATACACCACACCTTTCTAAGAGACAATTTACTTTCATAATCTAAAAAGAAAAATATTTAGGTTTTAACAGTTCCATACTTCCAAAAGAGATCCTTTCCTTTCCAACTTCTGAAAAAGTTGCACATTTATAGATAAATAATTAAAATAAACTTAGAAATGTAAAACGTAATGTGATTTAAAGTAAAGCTAAGATATGTCTGTTAGCTTTAGAAGAAAGAAATATAAAAGGGGAGATAGACAAAGTCTTTGAACATAAACTGATAAGGAAAAACTAGATGTCTGTAACCTTTGCAGTCTACACCTTGGTGTCAATACTTCACTATCCTAGATATTTCTTACTGCTTAGTCCTTCACCAGCCCATAAATGAAAATGATGAGTTCAGTATCAAATCTGCTGTTGCATCATATCCCATTGTATTTTAGGAATTTAATGTCATTCAAAGACACCATCCAGTTAGTAAGAGTAGAGGTTTGTTTTCCATAGTGTATGGAAACACTCAGGAACTTAGTTTTCTTGTTTTCCTCTCTATCTCACTGTGTAGGTTGAAGCTCCATTCATACCAAAGTTCAGAGGCTCTGGAGATACCAGCAACTTTGATGATTATGAAGAAGAAGATATCCGTGTCTCTATAACAGAAAAATGTGCAAAAGAATTTTGTGAATTTTAGAGGGGGCCAACAAGTTGAAATTAGAGCTCACACTCTTTGCACTCTGGTGAGAGACAAGGTGGAGCTGAGACCCTCCTTGTCGAAGCAGTTACCTAGTTCCTTCATTCCAGCAACTGAGTGAGGTCTTTATTGCCATCATCCGTGTGTGCACTCTGCATCCACCTATGTAAAAAGGCACCGCTAAGTCAGCATTCTGTGTGCCATGACGCAGTACTAGACCACTTTCTGCTTCTATTGGTTTGTCTTTCTCCTCTCCTCCTACAACCACTTACTCTTTTTCATTAGTTTTCCTCCAAGCAGTGCTCCATTTTATCTTGCTGGTGTTTCAGGTGTGCAGTGTTATGACTATGTGATCTTTGAAGGGAAGGACAACTGTTGCTTTTAGTAGCTCCTGCCAAATGTTTTTGTTGGTCAGTGGCATGAAGATGAACTTTCTGATCATTGTTTTTAGTTTGAGTAGCTCAGACTCGGTTTTGCCAAACTTGTGACAATTTTTGAACATAATGTCTTACCCCCAAAGACATTTGCACAAATTGAAATCATTTTAATTTTCTTGAAATTCACTATTCTGGCAATAAATTTAGCTAGACTAATATAGAGTAGCTGTACCCAGCAATTTGGATTTGTATAGATCAGAGGATCCCTTTTCCCTTTGCTCCTTTTTATGTTATCTTCCCTGCTCCCATCCCTTAATTAAAGAAGTGACCAACCCTGTGCAGTGTGACAAATGTGGCTTCTCCAACAGCAAACTCCAATGTTAGGGCTCTCAGCCCAGATTCTGTCACTTGGAAACAGCATTTCTGTAGGTATTACAGAAGAGCTGGAAGGCTTATCGACCTTACCTCTTTCTTAAGGGTTTTAGCCAGTATTTTAACCGAACATGATGAATGGAAATAACAAAATTTAAAGTTTTTCAAATGGTCTTTACTGTAAAGTTTTTACAGGAACGGAAGCAAGAACATTGGTCTTACTAAGTCAAAGAAATGACTTGATTCTTGCAAATAGTGTGGAGGTACTTTTGATTAAATGAGGTTTTATTCTATTTTGTCTTAATACTGAAGAACAAAAGGAGATGTCACTAGCTTATTATTCTGGTGTGCTATATGCATAGGCCCATGGTAGGGGCAAGATTGCAACTTCTGCTTTCATCCCATACCTCATCACTGAGGAAAGGAGACAAAGTTTATAAAACTGCCACAGTTGTGTTTTAATTTTGATGGATGATATTTTTTAGATAAATAATCATTTCTAGCTTCTTTTCTTTCAGTAACCAGAATGAATGATCATACAGGTATAATTTTGGTATTTGAGTTAGTTATTTTTTATACTTTTTTGCCAACTGACTTAACAACATTGCTGTGATGCAGAAATTTCAAGCAGTTTTGCACATTTAGTTCAGTGTTTTTTGAGATTCCTTGGCTTAATTCATTTTTAAACTAATTTTTCTTTTGCTTCGTTTTCCCTATTTGATTTGATCTGTATGTCTCAGTGACCTATCTTTAAACAACACACCAAAATGGTTTAAAATAAACTGCTTTCATCTTTATGATCAGTTTACAACCATATAAAAGAAATTGTTAATCACATTGATCTTGATGTAAATAACCTTTGTTTGCTTCATCACTGGTGCAGGTGCGTCACTAACACTACTTCTTTTCATCTGTACCATACCCTTGTAAAGCTTCTGAAGACATTAAGAAATTCTGTCTGAAATACTCTCCTCACCAATCTGTACGTCTTTTGGTTGCCAAGTATTTCTGCATGATAATGTTCATGTAAAGGCTGATACTGATTTCAGTTGGTTCACGTATATTTATAATGTGCAAGAAACATTTGAAATACTCTGCTGTAGCAAGTTTTATGTAACAAAAATATATCATCATGTCAATAAATTTAAAATAGCATTTGTATAAAATATCTTAATGTTTTTGTATTTCGTTTAGATTCAAGAACATGCTGATGATCATTGTATTCTGTATGTATGCTACAAATTCTATGGTAGCTTTGTTGTATATTATTGTAAAATTATTTTAATAAATCACAGGGATGACAATTTGATTATTACAATTTCATTTTCAGTAACCAAAAATATTTCTATAAATTCTGAAATTATTTTTTCTATGAAATTCCTAGTGCCCAACTGTAGAATTTGCCCAGGTAGATGACTTCCAGGCTATTCAGCCATTCCACTTTACTCTCTATTTAAAAGGACAAGAGTAAGCTGTCAAATATGTCAAGGGACTCTATTTTTGACCAATGAAGTATGTTTAATTAGAATATTTTTAAAGTACATGAAATTTGCAGTTCCAGCCACAGTGTAGCCAAAAACAAGATAAAAACTTGAAGACAAATAAGTGGCATAAATCAGTGTTTAGCCTCAAATTTTATTATTTGAAACAGAAGACATTGTGCTTTTGCTCAGAAAACAGAGTTGAGATCATATTGGAAGGTACCCTAGAATGAAAATCAAGACATGTGAGTTTCAGGCCAGAAAATTATAAGAGTGGCCCTGGCCTCAGTTCTCTTATCTGCACTATGGAAGCATTAGATTAGGCAGTTTCTAAAGTCCCTTCTAACTTGCAGTCATTAGGACAAGATTCTCTTTTTATCTGCTGTTTTGAAGCAGTCTCGGTAAAGCAATGTATTATAGGGCCATATTTATCTTTGACAGTGTTCTGAGGCTTCTTTGACTATCATGAGACTCTTGTGTCTGTCCTGATTCCTTCCTCATTCACTGATGCTGAATACCCGGTTGATATCAAACTGTCAGCCTACCAAAAATGATACTGTGGCTTATGGGTATTGCTGTCTTGTTCATGGTATGTTCTTGTATTGACAGCCCATTGGCCTGAAAATACTCATTGTAAGCCTGAAAAAAAAATCATTTTTATTTGCCCCTGATTATTTTTTCTGCTTGTTGTAAGAATCAAATGAAATAATGTACGTGGAAGCACCTTGTACACTGTAAGCTATCAATGTAAAATGTTAAGGTGTGTTGTTATTTCATTAATTATTTCTTTATTTAGAATGGAGTTTCCTATGCATTATTATAGCTAGGAAATGCTGAAAACAACTGTGTTTTTTAATTAATCAATAACTGCAAAATTAAAGTATCTTCAAAGATAAAATAACTTATTGAGTCTTGAATCACATTTGATATCTTTATTTTCTGATTTATTTTCTAGTACTATGGATAATTAGAGATTTTGAATTTTGCTACCTTTGGGTAGATAGTTTAGTTGTGGAAATAGAAATACAGAGAAAGAAATATCTAACGATCTATTCGTAGTGAATTAAGCAACTGCAAGTGTTTCTACATCTCTGTTATTTCTCACATTACTCCTAACATTGGTAACATTCATTCTTGAAGGGGTGGTACTGCATCCTCATTTTTAAACTAACAATGAACTTATCCTTTCTTCTTTCGGCGCTTCAGATGAACTTATCCTGTTTTAGTCAGGTTAATTAGTGTGTACGTCTATAGCTTTCCTTTATTCTAGGAAACATTGCTTTAAAAAAAACAATTGTTAACAACTTTACCACTTTTTTGTTACGTAAATATTTGTAAATACTGATGCATTTCATAACATGCTTACTATTTTTATGCTAGTGCTTGATTTATTGTTAAAGCTCAATATAAATTCCAGTGTTCACATTTCCTTTGCAAAAACAATTATACAAATCTGAATATGCCTTCATTCCAGAAGTATCATCATTTGAAACCCCATTAAGTATAAATTTTCTCTTAGGTACAAATATCAGATTTAAAGTAGAATTATTATTATTATTCTATTATTATTTCTGAAGATTTTGTATATATTTACAAGCCTCTGTATACACTGTCATGGAAATCAGCAGTGAGTTTCATCAGGGAAAAACTCATCTACTAAAGTCCTAAGGAATAGTATAGGAACTCAGCCTGTGTTTGAGCAACTAAGATAAAATGAGGTCTTATGGGTGCACCCTAATCCACTAAAGTTATTGTTCTTCTTAAAAAAAAAAAAAGATTAAGACATACAGCAGAGGGAAGAGCTCTGGAAAACCCAAGGAGAAGGTGAGTCTCTTCAAGCTACAACAGGAGGCTTCAGAAGAAGCCAACTCTGCCAACATCTCGACCTTAGATTGAACTTGTTTAAGGAACTCAGTCCATGGTAGTTTATTTGCTGTGTAACCGTAGCAAACCAGTGGAGCCATGGAGCTAGGTGTTCCTTTGGTGAGAGGCTTACATTGATCTCCCTCATCTGCTTCATGCTTTAGGTGTGGCCAGAAGTGCACTGACATCACAGAGAAAGTAAACTGGAAGTATGTCCATGTGTTCACAGACCTTAAAGTTCCTGGAACACAAGCAGAAAATAATCAACAGTAGTAGCAGAAGACAGGGATAACGCAGATCACTAACTCCAGATCAGACTTGACTCTTGGGTTCAAACTGTCCTCTGAAATCAGTACTAAAATAACACAAAACTGAGCAGACCAGGTTGGTTATGTTTACAGTCTTTTCCCGTCTTTTAGTAATGATAATACCAGTGAGGTAACCCGAAGGGAAATGGGACTGGGAGTAAAGGGTTGGTTCATTACCTCTTGAGTGCTAGTAATGCAGCACAATATTCCCATATTATGTATTCATTTACTCATTGCTGCTCTAAAAATTTCTACAAACTTAGTGGCTTGTAAGTAACACAATATTATTTCTGATCTAAATCCAAATTGAACCTCCTTTGTGAAAATCAGGATGCCAACAGGGTCTAGGAGAATCTTTTCTTTCTTGACTTTTGCCCATTTTCCTTGATTTGTCACACCATTTCTCCCTCTTCAAAGTGAACAGCATTGAACCAAATTTTCACACTGTGTCACTAGGATCTTTTCTGCCTCCATTTCACATTCAGAGACCCCTGTGAATATGTTAGATGCACCTGGGAAATCCAGGCTAATATCCCTATTTTAAGATTAACTGATAAGCAGCATGAATTCTTTATGTTACCTAGGTACATTGAAATTTCTATAATATCACTGTTTACCAGTGCAAGACAGCTCTCAAGCTGGCCTTGACATCCCTTATGTGCGTGCAGATGTCAGAACAGCCATAAAATATGCTGGGAATGGGCCCAACACAGTAGCCTAGCACTAAAGTTCTCAACTTGCATGCCCTGGGATCCCATATGGGCGCTGGTTCTAATCCTGGTTACCCTGCTTCCCATTCATCTTCTTGCTTGTGGCCTGGGAAACCAGTTAAGGACAGCACAAAGCCTTCAGACATTGCACCCACATGGAAAACCCAGAAGAGGCTCTAGGGTCCTGGCTTCAGATTGCCACAGCTCCAGATGTTGCGGCCACTTGAGGAGTAAATCAACAGATGAAACATCTTCCTCTCTGTCTTTCCTCCTCTCTGTATATGTGCCTTTCCAATAAAAAGAAAATGTCTTTTTAAAAATATGCTAGGAATGTAATATGAGAAACTGCCTGGATCCATCAAGGGGAGGTAACAAATTTGGAAAGAACTTCCTAGTATAGCAGGTGTATGTACCTTTCAAAACTTTCTCCATAAATATCATTGCCTAAGAAATTCATAATCCCTGGAGACGTGCCTTTGAGGTGCCTTAGCTAGAGGGAATGTATGGAATGCACAAAAATAAACTCCATCCAGTGGAGGTGTTCTGGTAGCTCCACATTCAAGGCTCCATAGGAGACGATACAGACCCAGATGAAATTCCTGGCTAATGGCTTAGTCCTGACCCTGCCCTGGATCTTCAGCCCATTTGGGGGATGAACCAAAAGATTGTGGATCTCTGTCTCTAACTCTATCAAATTAAAAATAAGTATATCTTTAAAAAACTATAAGGGGTATTACACCTCAGTGACATATTTAGACATATCCACCCAACATCTCATACTATTGAAATAATATAAGGGAAAACAGAGGGGGGTGTGGTGAAAGGGGAAATACTTGAGTCTATGGAACCATATCATGAAAAAGAAAAAAAAATTCTGAGACAAAATCTCCACCCAAAGGGAAATAGCTAATTTTCAAAAGAACAGTTTTATTCACATGAGATACTAAGAAATAAAATAACACCTTCAAAGTGATAATAATTATTTGCTAACTCTGAATTCCATAACTTGGGCTCATGCTGTGAGTCAACAGATTAATCCTCCACCTGCAAGAACTGATACTACACCTAGGTACCATTTCATGTCCCAGCCGCTCCATTTCTCATAGAGTTCCCTGCTTCTGGCCTGGGAAAGCACTGGAGAATGGCCCAAAGTCTTGGTACCCTGCATCTGCATGGGAGACCCAAAGGAAATGCTTGGTTCTTGGCTTCTGCATCGTGGCCTCAGATTGGCTCTTCTCTGGCTTTTGTGGCCATTTGGAAGTGAACCAACAAAAGGAAAATCTCTGTCTCCCTGTCTCTCCTCTCCATATATTTGCCTTTCAAATAAAAAGTAAATCCTTAAAAAAAAGAAGTACAAGCTTGTTTGTAGAAAATGATGGAGTTGAAGACCCATGGGGATTCCAATTTCTAGGCAATATACAGTCAATGGCATGCAGATAGAGCTAGCTGATGGGAGTTATTAGAAACTGAATGTTTCAAGAATCAAGATGTCAGAATAGGGTAAGGACACATTTAAACAGATGTAGAAAATTAGCCAGTGTGAAGCAGAGAGGGAACATTCCAGGACACAGGAGAGGACAGAATGACAGCAGAGGGGCACCTGGAGACTGACAGACACAGGAAAACATTGGACAAAATGATGTGGTGTTGCAGTGACTGATACCCCAGTGGCATTCAGCAAATGGCAATCTGAACTGCACCAATAGCTGCTAGAACTCTACCAGCAATTAGATGGAAAGACACTTTCACTGGGAGCTCAGGAGGTGAACCCAAACAAAGAACTGCTCATCCTGGTGGTCTGTTTCACTTGACCAGGAGCAGAGAGAGTAGCAGAGCAGATCCCAGATGCATGATGCAGGAATAGGTTGGATTTCACAGCCCAGTACACTCCCTAGAGCCAAATTGGGCGCAATTTTATGTAGGGAAAAAAAAGGTTATGGGACAGAGCTGCACATACACTGAGCTGGGAGTTAACTCATTTCTAGCTCAGCAAACTGCAACAACATGGCATCCTACAGGTTCTACCCCACATAGATCCGGTCCCAATATCTGACAGCCAGCAGATCAAGAACTCTAGCAGTGGCACAGCAGGTGACATTTTATACAGTGGGATAAAAGCTTAAAGACTGAGGAACAACAGTGAGCTGCACATGCACTGAGCCGGGAGTGAACTTACTGAGCTCAGTGTATTGCACTGGTCCCACAGGGAAAATAATACCAACATTAGCATCCTGCCGGTCAAAATAGGTCCATGTGGCTCTCAGACCTAACAGGCAACAAGTTCCAGCAAGATAAACAACAACCTGGCTATACAGGTGTCTCCCGAATCCTGGGTCCTGCTCCAATCAGAAGTGGGAGAAAAGTTGTGTAGACAACAGTGCAATCTCAGCACGGGATCACAGGAGGTGGAGACTCAGGTGAACCAGGAGCTGGGGCTATGAAAACCATGGTGGAAATCTAACATAAGAACCCATACCTGGAACTTGCTGGAGGGAGTGGCACAAGTGACTGCAAACAAAGAGCATTACCAATGCGATAAGTAAAATCAAGTTGTAGACCTGGAGCTTAGAAACCTGCCTAAAGGAAAAGAACATGCTAATCAGAAATTACAATGACCAAGAGCAAAAGAAGAGACACAGACACAAGGAATATTACTGAAGACTCCCCTGTAAAGGAGCAAAACCCTATGCCAAGCGCAGAGTTAACTGAGGAACATCGAGAAAATAGGGGATACAGAATTCAAAACACTTATAAAACTTCGTATCAACAATGAGAAGTAAGTAAAGCAGCCATTCAAGGAATACACTGAAAATAAATCAAATGAAAGCTGATATATCAGAATTGAAGAATACAGTGGAGCAAATTAAAAGTACAGTGGAGAGTCTCCAAAATAGAATGAAGGAGGCAGAGGAATCTCAGAAGATATTTCTTGTCACGAGTGGGAAACAAAGAAAAAGCTGGAAGCAGAGCTGAGTCAAGCTAAAAAAAAGTATTCAAGAAATAAAAGACACCATTAA